GTGTTTCTGCCATCTTCCTGCGAGCGATTAAGGTCTGCATTTGCAAATGTGAATTATGCTACCATAAATCTAAGTTACACTTTCAATTAAATGCCATTCTCTGAACAAACGAAAAACTTGAGATAATGTCAGTGGTGCTCGCCTTTGCAGACAGGGTAGTGCCTGTGGGAAGCTTCTGTTGAGTTACAGTACTAGTAACTTCTGGAAATATCTGTGTGTGTGTGTGTGTGAATGTATATATATATTTTAACCCTTTTCCTTAAAAACTGGGAAAAGTTCAGGCTGTACATCTGGTGAAGGGATGCAATTGCACATTTATCATTCTTTCTTCCCACCCATGAGGAATGTCAGCCAAAATGTGAATGTTACTCTTGAGATTTGTGGAAAGGCTGTAATATACCTGAAGTATGACTCGTGCTAGGAGCCATTGTGGGAGAGGACAGGGGAAAATAAACATAACACATCAGCAATAAGATCAGTTCTTTTCCTTTTCTATACTTGTAAATTAGTTGCAGTTGAATTTCTTGCTCTGGAAGGAGCATATCTGGATTTGATTGGAATATGCCTTTTAAGAGAGTAGGGAGGTGTGGTGTGTGGGTTTTATAGAGTGGCAGGGTTATTTTCTTCCAAGGTTGAAGGCGAATGTGTTGTCTTTTAGCATGCCTCTTGCAAGGTCTTGCCAGATCATTCTACCTCTTTGCCTCAGAGTAGAGATTTGGGTTTTTTCCTATTATGCAGTGATTTGGAAGGTGCTTGAACACTTCAGAGCAATCCTGAAAGTAAGCCTGAAACTGAAAGCAAACCAGCTCTCTAAACATATTTGTTCTTCCAAGATGTTCTGGGAGCTTTCCTTGAAGCAGCTAAAAAAATTCTCCAAATCTTTCTGAAATTTGCACCTCTGTCAGTTTATGTTCCAAGAAGAATGCTTCCAACAGTGACATATTCCCCTCAATCTCATTTGTTATGCAACTAATGATGTCCTGATGTCTGCAGGGTTGTTTCCTGTGATAATCGGTGCATTTCTGCCTCTTTCATTCTTGTGACATTGGTGAGATGAAAGATAACAGACAACAATATAAGGAAGAGTATCTAGGAGGTGTAACGAACAACAGGGGTCATGAAGGAAGAAGGGTCTTTGCTGCCAGGGCTGTTTAAATCAAAACTAAGACAACTTTTTCTTCTATAAAGTCAAACCTGCAATTTCTTCTTGTCCTTTAAGTGGACCAATTTAAAAAGTACATTTGAATCCAGCCTAATAAAAGGCTGAAATTGTGTATTTTGGAGGTAGTACTCTGTAAAAAGTGAAACTACATACTTAACTCTGTGTGCTTCCTATTGCAGTGACCCCGAAGTGTTGAGAGGTCCAGTGTGTAAGCTGCTCAGTGGTGCAGGACCGGCTGGTGGAGCATATTGGGCCTGTGTGTCCCTGGACAAGCTGCAGCAGCGTGAAGTTCAGCGTAGGCCCCTTTACCTCTTTTCACAGGCAGGCTTTGCTGAGCTCCTTCTGCAGTCAGGCCAGTTCTAGGAGCCCTGAGGTAGCCAAGGTGAAGTTCTGCACTGCAGTCAGGCAGACAGGGCTCATTCACTTCGTTAATCTTCCTTGGTGCTGTAAAGCTGGGATGTTGAATACTTTGAAGTTATGAGGCCGTTGTGGAAACTCATTCTGTGCGTGAGCACGCGACTGCGTGCTTCTGAGCTCTTCGCAGTGAACTGCAGCTCTCCCTCTCTAGTCGTAATTGCTAGCGAAGGATAACTTCGCTAGCAGTATCTTGCTAGAACTTTGTAAGTCTTCCTGAGAAACCAGAAATGTAATTTTAAGAAGCCAATCCGATTAATATTTTTGCTCTTATTTTTCCTTTTGTAGCTGAGCAGTAGACTGATACGGGGATATATTTTTAAATCCTCAAAAGAACAGCTGTTTACAATGCTTGCATTCCTGAAATATGGACAGGTTTGTGTGGACTGCAGTGCTGAAGGTGCTAACTTGTGCTGATGCATCTAATGTAGTGTATAGTGCTGTTGCATCCTATATGTTATTATAAATCATGTGCAGCACTTATTTTGTGCAAATAAAATACCAATAAGCACAAAGGCAGCGCTGCTTTTCTTCCCCCATCCCAACTCCCCAAACAAGAAACTGTGTTTTAGAAATGTTTGAAGTGAAAACAGTACTAATTTAGCAGAAGCTGATGGCAGTATCTAAGTAGTAAGAAGCCACAGAGGAGAAAAACAATAGACAACTAAGGTTGTAACTTAAACTACAGGCCAGGGGTGGTGGGCCACAATGATAACTTGTTGTTCTGTGGCGTTTTTCTTCCCTGAAGCAAAGTTCAAAAGCTATAATTGATTTCGTTGATGGTATAAAGCTGCTTGCTACATTGCCAGCCTAGCAAATACTTAAAGTTCTGTTTTATGTGAAGGTTAAATATTAACTTATTTGAAGGAAGGCTTTATTTTGTAGTATAAACATCCTGTAAAACTGTTGTTTTGCCATTTGCTGAGTGAATTTAAACAAGTAGTAGGATTGCTGTTCATTTAATCTATCTGACAGTGGGAATAACAACCATGAAAGGGATAGAAACAGAAACACTGAACTTGCATGAACTTATGAAGCGGAAGAGAACTGTCCATCTTTTTTGTTTCATGAGGATGGTAAGACAGGATGAAAATCACAAATCTTTCAGTGTTGGCTTTTACCTCAAATTGCTGGAGTTTGCCAAAGTAAAATTGTTTTGCACAATCTAATAACTGCATTCTGACCTAAGGGACCTAGGTATGAAAAAGAAAATTATCTTCCTGGCGCTATGAAGCTTTAATTAATTTTTATTAAGTTTATTTAGGGATCTTTTTGATGAAGTCTCACAGGTGATATAATCTTAAACTTTTTTTTTTTTTCCACATGTAAAGCCTGTTCATTATTTTGAGTCTTCAGACATTAAATTTGGCTCACAATTTTGTTTTGTGCTGAGAGCAGAAATGAGGCTACAGATTATGGAGTGCTTTAACCAAAGTTACTTATAGAAAATTTCCTGTAGTTTTATAAATAACTATGTTCTCCCATCCCATTAATGGGTAATTAAGAAGTTTTTTATATTTCTGGTCTAGAGAAATATGTTTGTTTAGCTGTGTGCCAAGGTGTTTACTTCAGATATATGAAGAGCCAAAGACAAAACTTAAAGTACTTTAGTATTTTTTTTTTAAGTTGAGCAAACAACCCTACTCAGCAGTCTTGTTTTAATTTTCACCTTCTTAATGATTTTATTTTCTCTTTGTGGTGTTCAAAAAGTTTTACCTGGAAAAATAATGCATTTGTAAAATTTCAAGCAAAACACTCATAGTATTTGCTTTAAAAAATAATGTGACTCTGTAGCATGCAGTGGAATAATACTGAGACTGTATCATGACACAACTGGACCTGTTCTTATATTTACATGAATACTTTGCAGGTAATCGTGTGCTTCAGGTCTGTTTTTCTATGTGGATTATGTCCCTGTTTCAGACAGAAACACAGGAGGAGGATGTGCAAGTATGCATAACTAATGTGAAATTAAACTGGTTTTTAGAATTGGCCTCCTTTAGTATGAAGCCAACCTTGTTCTAGTCTAAATGGTAATTTCTTCCTTCTTTAGGTGGAAGGAACCAGAACTTTTTCCATATAATTTTGTAGAGGCTTCCATGGACAAATAGAGGGTGCTGAATGGATATTTTAAGAAAGGGGGAGGGGGAGAAGATTAAAAAAAAAAAAAAAAACAAAAACAAACCAAACAAACAAACAAAAAACCCACCAAAAAAAAAAAAAACACCACACCTAACCACAGCCACGTATGTGAACAAAAAAGGGTCATCTATACATTGAGATATCACCTCATTATGTCTCTTGTTGACTATAAAAAGAGGCACAGTTGTATAATACAGTTGCCGACCCTTTTACTATAGATATCTGCAGTTAAGTGAGACACATGCCACCTGTGACCAAAGTATACCTTCAGAAGGAAGTCTGCAATGCGTACTGAACCCCTGCAGATTTAGGACTAGTGTGCAACAGGAAAAAGCTCTTTTGAACTGGCACACAGACTAATTACATTAGAAATGTCAGAGCTGAGAGAGGAGACAACGTGGTGTGAGGTAAAATGCAGTGGGGAGAGTGTTCACTGTTAACCTTTTGCTCATGCTGATGACCAGAAGCTTAAATTTGCTGTGTAAGATGAAGAGTCTGGAAAAGATATTTTCCTCATTGAATTTCAGGAATTCAGTGTCTAAGGAAGAGATCCAGCGAGGGGAGTGATATGAACTAAGAAACCCAATAAGTACATCAGTTCTCTGTTCAGCATCTTACCTGAACTGATGAATGAGGTGTGAAGGTTTTGGAGAAGCTTGAGGGCAGGAAGATGTACTACTAGTCGGGCAGTGTAAAAGGTGGATTTGAACAATAGCATTGTTGGGATAAAAGGAGATGAGGATGTAGGAGAGAAGGAAGTGGAGAGGTTTTAACTATGCCTGAAGAATTCAGGTCAGGGGAAAAAAAGTCAAAAATAGCATGTGGTGGAAAGAGAAGTGGTGGGGGAAGAAACTGAAAGAGGGAAGTAGGTTGCATGTAAGTTTCACAGGTACTTCTGTAAGAACTTCTTTTATTTGATTTTCTGCTTTCCAGTGGTACACCTGTTGGCCTAATTGTTGACTAAGAAAACTTTGGTAGGTGTGTATCTGAAGATGAACATGCATAAATTGTGATCTAGTTAATGTCTGTGAAAAGGAGTGTGCTTGCTTGGTTAGCTCAGGGAACTGGATCTCTTCCGTTCTTCCACTGACTTGCCAAGCCTCAAGGGCTGGCAGGAAGAATACTAACTCCTGTTTTACCCCAGAGTGGGGTAGGGAGGCTCTACTAACATCTGAAGTACACTTTGGAACAAGTCGGCTATCTCGTATATCTCACTTCTAGCCAAACATTTGGTTCAGTACAGATTTACTTACCATGTATCTTTTTTTTTTTTCTCTTCCAGTTACCATTTCTTCAACTGCAGAAAAAGGTAATATTTTCATTATTTTTTGAATATGTGAATAGTTTTGTTGCATGCAAGTCTTAAGGGACATAGAATTTAAATGTACTCCTTTATGTGTAAGTTCTGTGTAGTGAGTAGATTAGTGCTAAGAAACAAGGTAAATATTGTGAGGTTGAATGTTTAGCTTCCAGTACCACAGGCTTAGGATGATGACAGGACCTGTGAGTAATGCAACTATGATTTAGGTTTGCAAATATTTTTAAATGGGTACCTTCTAAGAACAGAAAGAGGAGAAGGGAGAAGGAACTGCAGCAGATTCACAAGTCCATTTTTTGTTTATTCCTGAACACACCCCCGTGACCTGAAAGACTTCTGGAGGAGGGAGAATTGTTGTTTTACTGCTTGCTATTTTCCAAACATCTTACCAAACTCCTCAGAACCCCATTCTTCAGGACTGTGCAAAACACAACCATTTCAAAGGTGGCTGCACGTTACAATTTTAAATTTCCAGCTCAAGTGGTTAAGACCTTGTTTTGACAAACTTTACTTAAGTCTTCATATTAGCTTTGGCAAGTATATGCCACAGTGGGTAGTGCTTAGAGATACAAACTGATCAAAAAAATTCCAGCATTCTTGCTCTGCCACTTTTAATTATGAACAAAAACTAGTCTAAAGGATAATTCAGTTCCAGAAGTTCAAAATACAGGTTTTTTTAATAAGGCTAACTTTTTTTTTTTTCTGTACAAATAGAAATTATTGGTGGGATATCTGTTTGAGAGTTCATTTCATCTTATGGGGGACATGAGTGGTAGATTAAGAATAGATTTGCATTTTGACTATCCACAGAGGGCTGTCCTCAGAGTGTGATACCACTGATAAGAGTGTCTCATCTCTAAAATATTTTTGCAAAGGAGCATAGAATTTGGAGCTAATCTAGCAGTTTTCTTCCTGTGGGGGAATATCCAGGAGAACACCAGTAAAAGGAAGGATCCTTGATGGGATCTGTCCTCTTTCATCTTCTAATGAAGAGGAAAAAAAGTGGGAAAATCTCCAAAATAAATTGTAAGCCATTAAAGAAGGGAGTACGTATTACCCTGGATTTTTATAACACAGCTGGGCTTCACCTAGACTTCACAAAATTCTGCAGATTGCTGCTGTGCTTTACTGTTGACCTGTATAGGAGTAAGTTTTACTTCCTAGTTTCATCTGGAAAGGCAAGATTCATGTCTCAGTTAAGGCAGCCTGGCAGAGCACTGGTGTTGATGTTGGATAGTCAGATCTCTGGCTTTAATACAAATAAGGTGCCTGTCTGACTGAAGCAGGTGCTCTTAGATCTACCAGAGAAGAAAAATGCTTGATTAATTAATGAGATTGACAGTATCATTGGAACCTGACAGGCTTTTAATAGCTGTCACCTGCACATTTCTTGCACCTTCAATTCTAAAGCATGACATATGCATCCTGTATGCATTAATTTCTTTACCGTGGAGGTTGATCTTAAAATGAAATGTGAAGTCTTTTTTCATTTGAAATGAAAGCTATCATAAGTTTCATAAAGTTCTTATAAGCTAACTCACAATAACCGGGAAATAACATCAGAAGTGTCAAAAGGCCAAAGTACCAGTAACATGGCTATTTATATCAATAATGTGCATCTTAGCAAATATATTTTGCTCCATATTTCAGTGTACTGTCATCAAATCCTTTTACTCCAGTACTTAATTACAACTTTTTATTAAATTAGTGGTGATTTCTTCACCCCATTAAGGCTAATTGTTTCTTTCTAGTTTCATATTCCTGTCTGGATTTATATCTATTAGGATAGGGGAATAAAGTCAACTCTGAATCTCTCTTAACAACACAATATACTTCTGTTATATATTATTACCTCTCTTTAATCTGACTCTGTCTTGGAAATAGTATTAATGATTCAGAAAAGCATGTTAAGGGCAAATCTTAGGAGGGCTTAGCATATTTTAGAAGGATTCTAAGAGCACGTCTTAAGACATTGTCCTCCTGAGGGCATAAATTATGGCCTAATATGCATCAGTGCCTTTAAAGAGAAGTGACTTCACTTGGTCACAGCATGGCACCAAGAATCCTGGATTCCCTTACCTTAGTCAGGACTTCTTCATGACTGAGTCTGGCTGAACTGGCAGATATTAGGGTTTGAGGTTTTTGACATATTTTCCATCTAGCTTGTAATTACAAGAAAATGAGCTGAATAGGAATGACGCTGGTTTATATTTGTACTGGAAACTGCTGCAAGATACTTCAGGGAGTAGTCTACAGAGGAGATACTGCTACCCAAGACAGTGAGTAGATGAACTGCCAAAATAAAGCCATCAAAAAAGGTATCTAACCTCCCTCTTATTTATTGGGAAGCACTGACAGGACAGATACCTTTAATTGTGGAAGGAATAGCAGCACAGGAGTGGGAAGAGAAGCAAGAATTTATTCGGTGCAGGGCCAGTATGGGCTGCCAATTGCAGGCTCTTTCTCCTGTAGAGTTGGTGGTGCCCATCATTGGAACAGCTGTGAAAGCCTCACTCTTCCTTGAGTTGCCCCAGTTTGGCTACTGAGGGTGGGCCCTTGGCTCTTAATGATGGTGACAGATTGCTAGATCTCAGTTATTGCAAGAGTGCAAGAGCACTTCAACAGCTGCCTCTTTCCAATAAATACCGGTAGCACTGGCACAGATCTGTACCCTTGGTACCTGTTATTCTGTGTGTTGTTGGGGCATTTACAGCCTGTGACAAGACTTGTAGGTTCTGCTGTTTGAAGTATTGTGTGTACACTAAAAATAATCCTTAAAAAGAATCTGAATTCTGGGGGTGATTTCTATGGACAGAATAGAACTGTTTACTGTGTAAGTTAGTTTTGCTGTGCCCTGCCCTCCTCTGTGTCTCATTTCCTCTTTCCTTCTATTCAACTCTTCTCACCCGCTTCTCTCAAAACTCTGATCTGTGCAGCTGATTCCACTCCAATTTTCTGTCTGTTTTTCCTCTTTTCCAAACCATTTTCTCATGCTTTAATTGCTTAACCACATTATGTTTGAATGCGTGTAGTATACTTTCAACAAAAATTTCTAATTATGCAGTGCCTAGTACAGCAATACACAAGTTCTTTCCTATCAGGATGACAATTTTAGGATGGCTTTACAAAAAAGTTTTGCTTCTTGCATTTTCAGTCAGCTCCACAACTGAAAATTTGCCAAATCTGTCTGTGAGGTTGGAGGAGACAGAGGCAAAGGTAAAAAGCATAGTTATCTGAAGAAAAGGTCAAATACAGTTTGCTTGGGTGTTTTACTGCAACAAGCAATGAAAATCCTGAAAGATGATAAATTAAGACCACATCTTCTGTGGCTGTGCACAAGCATTTTCTGAGCTGTTGGAAGTTCCCAAAGTTTCAAGCCTATTCTGCCATCCATGAAGTACGTCATACGGCTTTTTTAGGGACTCTATGTGCATAGGAAAGTAGGTCAAGTTTCCTTCTTCCTGCAACTGAAGATAATATAAGTGAAGGTAATGTAAATATTTAGTATGACTTCTTTTCTAAGGGTTGCTGTTCCGCCACAACTGACCTGTTTCCTCTTGACAAGTGGTAAAAGAAACTGCTAGAGGAAGTAAGATTGGAAGAAGCTTCCTGGGTCACAAGGTCTGTGTCTCAGGTCTTTAAGGCAACCGTATCACACAGACCCATTGATAAATTGATTGAGGTCCCTGCTAAAGCCACCTGCATTTAGTTGCCCCTGTGACTATAATAGCAGAACTCTTCCACATTACAGTCCTCTGATGATTTGAAAGAAGATAACCAGAAAATTTTTAACTCATAGCTAGCTTTCAGCTTGTAGCGCAGTCCTCTCCAAAATCCTGGTTTGGAATTTTTACTGTCATTGATGACCAGTGCCTTCTACAGTGGCACAATACCGTGCTGTTTCTATTAGAAGTAGAAATTAAATTGAATTCTGTAGGTCAGTTATCAAATAATTTACTGTGATCTGGAACAAATTGTAGCATCTTCTTTATCCAAAAAGGTTAGTCACTTAAATGCTACAGGTGAAGCTGTGTTCAGTTCTGGCTTTTTTTGGCTCATTTATTTTTTTTCCCTTCAAAGTCTGCTTTGGAATTGCATATAAAAGCATATTATTCCCATGAGGAATAGAAACCATCACATTTGGTGATTTTTTTTTTTTTTTTTTTTTTTTTTTTTTTTTAAGTGAGCACTCCTAGAGGGCTAAGTCTACCCAGGGAAAAGGGTTTAATATAGCTTAATTTTATCAGGTGATTCATAGAGTAGTAGTTTAGCCCTCATCAAAGATCAGGGATTTTATTTCTTGTTCTTTTCAGCTATATTCACCCAACTCTTATTTGTATTTTATTGCAGTTGTCTACCTTGTGGTTTTTCATCTGTCATTTGTCATGTTTGTATGGTCCTATTGGAAGACAATTTTCACATCTCCTGCATCCCCCTCTAATGAGGTAAATATAACATTAGAAAAATGTCAATGCCTGTTTTTATAAATAGCTGAACTGTTTTCAGTGATGAAACTTGTTAGCAGTACTGCATGATTCACCTTTCCCTTCTCATTATCTAAAATAGAACAGCATGACAGTGTATCATGAATGAAAATGATCAAGTTACTCTTAAAATACAGTATACTTTGTGTGATGACATTTCCTTACACAAAATGTGCGTTTAATTCATCACAAGTTGGACAATCACATACAGTGCTTTGCTATGAAGTAGCTTGCTTGAAACCTGGAATTTTTAAAACCGATAAATACAGTGGCACCATTTTTATATTTTCATTTTAGTCAATTTTGACCTTTGTTTGGGTAAGGAAAAATAGTAATGCAATGTTATGCTCATAACCTTGAGGACTGAACCACTTAGAAGTAAGTCAAGAGTTAAGGTTTAGAGACAATTGGGAAATGAATAAATAAAGGAGCTTTTTGTAATGGCAAAAGATTGCATGATGATTGTAAGAAGTTTTGTTTTGAAAGAGAGCAGTATTAATTGCAATAAGCCGGAGATGGATTACCTTGTCTTCTGTTTTCTCTAAGGTATATGTATGTAAGGATTAAATCGAGGCACCAAATTTAAAATGCTTCCCTTCCCTTCCTCAGTTTCATAAAGCTTTTAAATTGGCTAAACTGTTTGAGGCTTTGGTTGCTCTATGGGGGTTGAATTTTTATTCTATTTTTGGCAAGACTGACTTTCAGTGCTAATGTCAACCTTAAACATTTTTGAAAGGAGTTAAAACCATGCTTCTAAGAAAAAGCAAACACTGCTCTGCAGTGCTTAATTATGGCTTAGAGATCTGTATCTTAAAGCTACAGAATATAAAATGAAAAAAGCTAATGACTATTCTGCTGTTTAGCTAAAATAAAAAAAGTAGTACTGAATTGTTAAACCTAAAAATTCAAACAGGCTTGTCTTCAGCGTGGTTTGTTTTGACTTAATCAGGGGTGGTTCTGCAGGAAAATGATAAAGTTAAGCAGGTTAGCTAATTAAAATGTGGTTGGAACTATGTTATTCCAGGTTTTGTAAAGCTGTATGAACTAGAGCCGCTCATAAAGCTAATGCCTAGTAACTTTTACTGTCTGCTTGGATACTTCAGTAATAGAAAACTTTTTCTGACAGTACTTATACTGTAGTTACAGAAATGTTGTAGCAAGCTTTTCATATTCAGTGAGTGAAAGGGAGGATTTGGGAATATGGCATGTAATGAATATTTACTGTATCAGGTGTGGGGGTAGATCAGGTTTAATACAGTTTTCTTCTACAGATAGCTTTAAAAAGAAAAAAAAAGGGGAAAAAAAATACAAAACCCACAGCAACAACAAACAACAAAAAAACACAAATAAAAAACCCAATCAAAGAAAGAAACCCACCACCGCTTTTTCTCTCTCTGGGCAAGTCCCTTCTGTTCATGTACCAGTGAGTAATTTATGCTGGTTGTACTTAAAAACAAAGCCTGATTTCAGAATCTCCCCATTGTATGAGAGTGTAAACGTATATATTTTTAGTCATTCAAATTAGCCATTCTTGCAAAACAAATGGCATCCTGTGATCTTACTATTGAACTAAAAAAAGATTCTGCAGCTGCTGTTGTCTTAGTGTAATCCCTGTACATTTGTCATAAGAAAGAACAATCAACATTATACAAGATCCAGAAAGAGGAAGGAAACAAAGGGACTCTTTCTGTTTTCAATAAGAACTGCTGGAACCTCACTGGAAATTCTGTTAGCTATGCGGTAACAGACAACTTTTGATGTCTTTTGTACATATCCTGCCATTGTCCAAAGAGTCTGTGGTCTCATGGCCCTATTAATTTCTGAAATTAGAACAGAAATACAGCTCTTCAGAAAACCAAAATCCTATCCAGAATTTTTGGAGTAATATTATGATGTTACTGGGACAAATTAAAAGTTATAAATCTTGTGATTTAGTTCCTTTTCTGTGCATTAATGGTTTGCCATAGCAATGTCACCCAGAAGTAGTATTTCATGTTTAATGCAACCTCTGCTAAATTGCAGGACATTGGGTCACCTAGCAGACTCACAAGGGCAGTAGGGGGAGGAAGGCATATTGCACCACTGTTGACTGGCATGATGCTTCATATCTCTATTAAACTTTTGATGTGAGCATCTCCAGTTTTCATGTTTGAGTAAATATCTATTTTAGAGATTAAGATTTAAGGTCAAACTCTTGGTGATGACTGAAATGTTAAACTTGAATTTTGCCCTTCGCAAAGATTAATCATAATTTCTGATTATTTAAAAGGGGATTATGTTTCATGTTTCACCTTTGAATGGTAGTTAGGCCCAATAACTGGAATGATACTGTATGTAACAGGAGGCTTAACTAGATTCTGTGAAATAGGAGGCAACGTGCTTGCATTCTGGATTAAGAAATAACACAGAGAAATTGCACCAATGTCTTACTGCTTCCTCCTTTCTGTAAATGGAGTTTTCATTATTGCTTGCCAACTGACAGTAATCCAAAAGAGGAAAAAGTACAGGATGAGAGGAAAATCCATGTGAACTAATCATATACATGTTCTTCATAGGAAAATACGGTCATATTAAACCACACTAAGCCAATTTTTGTTGCAGCTGCGCACACAGCATTTTCCACTCACTACCATGAATACTTTGTCTATGTGTGTTTATAAAAAGGGCTCTTGTAGTCCATGCAGGAAGCTCGGAGTTTAAAAGTGCTTCAGAAGAGAAAAATGCCAAATGAAATAGTGAATTCAGCCCTCACTCCACAGGGGCTTGTCAGCACACTGGGTTTTATGGGGCTTAATGGTAAAGCTCAATTTCAGTGGATACCAAACTAAGTGTTTCACAAGTGAGTAAACGCTCTCCAGGTTCTTCTGGTAAAGCTCTGCATTTCAGTGAGGCTTCAACAGGAATGCTCCTCGTGCTTTACTTAAATCGTAACTCAAACTGTGCAGGCTTTGCTGAAGTTGGTTTCAGTAGAGCTCATGGATTTTGAGACTGGTGCTGACTACTCCCACGTAAAAATTCCAGTTAAACTCTTTCAGTTTCTGTGCTGTAGCCATGAAGCTCCCCCCACACTTTTTTTCCCCCTCTGGTTTGCACCTCTGTTGAAATCAGAGAGAGGAAGTGGGATAAGAGAACTTTAGTGCCCTGTAGCAGCAAAGGACTGTTGCACCTTCCTCTTACTCACCCATCGCTTTACACTTACCAGGAGTTAAAGAAAGGGTTGTGCCTTCTTAAAACTCCCTTGAGTCTCTGCCTTCCTTTGTGTTGAAGGGAAAATACTACAGATAATGGAATAGAGATGAAAATAATTTCCTTTAAAATAGGCCCAGGACGATCATGGAGGATCTCCTGTAATTCGTGTAGCATTCTTTTTCCTTTGTGGCATTTTTTAGGTTGGTGGGTGGGGTTTACCCAAAGACATAGGATTAAGATACATAGGGTCTTTTCCTTGGAGCTTGACTAGAACGCAAACTAATAATTAATCTCCTCCCTTTATTCCATTTTCTCCCTCCCTCCTAGTTCTGTTTATCAAAAGCTGATAAAGAACAATATGAAAAAGAAGAGAGACCAGAATCCCAGCAAGAGATTTTGAGAAGAGCTGCTAAAGACTTGCCTGTTTATACAACAACAGCATCGAGAGGTGAGATATAAAGATAATTCTGTGCTCCTGAAGCTGCTAGTTTAATTCAGTAAAATTCATTTGATGTCACTGATGAACAATCTATTGAGCGCATATTGCAAAGGCCATGACCTTGTTTCATTATTTGTTTCATTATTTGTTTCAGCTGTTGTTTTTTTTCCCCAAGAGAAACTGGAGTCCTTTGTCTGAGGATCTCAGTATATAGACAGTATTTGGAATTAAAAAAAAAAAAAGACTCTTCTAGCAATTAGATAGATGACATTTATATCTAATTGTGGCTATAAAAAATAAACACAGCAAATAAATATAGCTAATATATCTAGAAATAGAGAAAGATAAACTTCTAATTCAATTTTATAATCTTTTATATCCCCCTTTTAAACTTCTTTTTCTGAGCTATATCAGCTCAGCAGGAGGAGGAACATCATACTTAAGTCTAGAATTTAAGAACGAATAAATGTTGTTTCATTCCTATCTGCAATTCAGTACAAAGCTAGTTATGGGCTATTTCTGTATTTGCCTTTTATATAGATATAGACATTTTTATTCCAAGTTATATGAGAATGATCTGTGAAACTGTCTTATACATATGTATATTCTTTAAAAAAAAAAATCTAGCTTTTATATGTATATATATCTGTTGCTCTTTCTTAAAAGTAACAACCCTGTAGAGTTTTCCAAAAACACAAACTACTCAGAATAACTGTTACCAAAGTTTACTGTGACTTTCCAAACAAAGCCTAAAGGACACCTGGCTTTTTTGAATACAAGCCTCTCTTTAAGGGAATCCCAGTCTTAAATTTCTGGGGTGGTCTGGGAAGCTCTTGCCAGCTCTTAGCAATTCTGCCTAGCTGTAGGTGTTGGCTTTCCTCCTCCTTTCAAACTGCCTGTGTTGGTGCCTTATATCCATTGAGAAGAGCCTGAAGGCTTGTTTAAAAATATCCGGGAAAGATGATGAAGAGCTGAACAGTCTGCTAGATCACTATTTGCTGAAGAGGATAGAGAAAGCTAATGCAGAAAGTTGGCTTGCTGAAAGACTGTAGTTTCACAGCAGAATGGCTGAGTAACTGGTCCAGAGGTAAAAAACAGTAGGGGATCAGTGCCAGTGGGTGAAGGATGGGAAGACTGTGGAGCGAAAGAATAAATGGAAATGGACTTGGTACAGTAGTAGTAGATTAAAGTCTTTTAAATACTTTCATATGCTACATTTCTTTAAAAGCTCAAAAGTGCATACCATAGGAGAGTAGGCATGTGAAGGTCTGTGAGAACAGCTGTGGCAGGGGAGGGCAGGAAGCTCTTTAAGATTCAGTTCTTATTAAGGGGGGAAACCTTTGTAAAATTAAATGAGTTCTAATGATTTGACCCTTGCCACTTGAATGCAGCAATCAGATACTGTGATCGATGCCAGCTAATCAAACCTGACCGCTGCCACCACTGTTCTGCATGTGACATGTAAGTTACTGAATCTGAAATGATGGATTTTCTCTCTCCTGTGATCGTCACATTATTGTGTTCATGTCTTTAGTGTGCCAGGCCTTGCATAACAGCAGGTTTTACTATTTGTTCCTCTCCGGCCCCCAGTACTTGGATTTCATGAAAGAGCAAAGTTCCTCCTGTTGGTGCAGTGTTACTACTGCAGCCCCACTGTCTGAAGTGGTGAAACTTTTTAGGAAACCTGCTTGTAGCGTTGTAAAACTGTACTTATATTTTAAAATGAATCAATCAATCCGTGATTGCAAGTAAAGAAAGGCAGGTTTGAGTTACCAGCACCTCAGCACCAGCAAATGTTTATTATAGAACTCTTATATCTTGCTTCTACAGACTTGAAACAGACATGTGCTACTAATAATACTAAAAAACTTTGTCAAAGATTGACAGTGGAATCACATGCCTTAACCATTTCAGAGACATCACTGCTATTCCCTAGCTTCATTCTGAATCATCAGAGAAGTCTGTAAAGGCACTGAAGACTGAGGCTGTGTGTGAGCTTCAGTAGGCTGAGGTTGAGGAAATCGAGTTAACCGAAGAACTTAATACACATGTTTTGGGCTAACATCGCATTTATTAGCAAATACAGTGAATGTATGTGTGTCTGAAATGTCTAGTGTCTGTCCTTATAGTAACACAGATGAAAATGGCATGTGGACAATTCAGATTACCTACTGTGCTTCTCTTTTCCTCAGTTAGCTTTAAAAAACAAACAAGCAAGCAGCAAACAAAAAAAAAGGTAGCAAAAATAGTCCTAAGATAGACTTAGTTGAAGTGAATGCCAGGCTAACATACCTTGTCCACAGAACTCTGAAGGGTCCTTTGGATTTGTTTTCTGTTAGTGTGCACATGAAACTAGTATGGCTTAATGAACTGTTTCCTGGTGTTGCTCAGTAATGATCCCTATGTTAATTTAAGAGACTCTCTGCAGAGGTGGTCTTCTGGATCTCACTTGGTCCCTTTGGGTGAAAGGATGGCTGCTATAATACAGAGAATTGGCATGATTGAGAAAGTCTTGAAAAAGATACAGTGGGGCAAAATACTTCAAAAAAACCCAAACAAAACAAAACAGCCCCCTAACATACAGAAGCTAAAAGTATGTGTCTTAGAAAGAAAATGTAGTTTTTTGCTTTAACTTACTGGAAATTGTATCTTTCAGATGTGTACTAAAAATGGACCACCACTGTCCATGGTAAGTTTATGAAAACAAAAAAAAGACCAGTATGATAATGATGAATTAGATGATGCTTCAAAAATGCAACTTGGATGTAAAACTTGGAGGCTTTAATATGTGAAAATAAATCTGTTCCTTATGTGTGTTGCAACACAGAGTTGTAGGCCCAGTAGCCCAAATCATGCAGTTTCTCCTTACATAGAGGAACCCTGGCGTTAAGGAGACCTATGAGAAATGGCATTTATTTATTTTGTTTAGTTTGGTGTTGTTACCAAGAGAGGAGATACCCATGACACTGTGAAAATCAGTTCTCTGTTCTAGGTGATACATAAGACCACTCAGACAGTTACTCTTCTGCAGTTTGTATTTACTGGTAGTCGGTAAAAATATTATCTGCTGTCACTATAAAAATAATGCTGTCAGCAGTTGACTTGAGGGTGGTTTTGTAACCAAAGCAACATCCACTGAAATTGATGGAGAGGCTTATACTATCTTCTGTGATGACTGCAGTTAGTTCATAGTGTGCGAGACGCTGCCTATACAGACTGTATGTATCATACGCTTTGCCAGCTTATGTCCTGGCCTGTAGAACTTCGGGGGGGGGCAAAATTTATGCGAGGGGCCCAGATCATTTGGCGTAAGGAAAGAGACTTCAAAATGGTGGCTTAAAATGAGTCTGAAACACTAATGTCAGACTCTTTTGGACACACCACTGACATACACGTTATGCTCTGCAAAAGCTGAATGTATTGGGTTTTTTATTTGATTTTATTTTTTTGTATATCATAGTAACTTCTTTTCTCTTTCCCTTCCTTCTAGGGTGAATAATTGTGTGGGATTTTCTAACTACAAATTCTTCCTCCTGTTTTTAATGTATTCCTTACTGTACTGTCTGTTTGTTGCTGCTACAGTCTTGCAGTACTTCATAAAGTTTTGGACAGTAAGTTCTAAGGCTTTTATTTGTTTGTTAATTTGGTCAACCCCGCATGTGTTATTGGAGGCTGCATCAGCATGTTGTCACTCACCATTTACTCTGTTCCATAGTTCATTATCATTAACAGCATCAGTCGAAGTGACTGAAGCAGGAGAACCTTGTGAATGTTAATGAATTAAATGTATTACACTGCCCAGAATGAGTAACTGGGGGAAGAAGTTCTGATGAGGACACTGCAATGTCTCAGCTCCATCGAAATCGAGTGGCACAGCTCAGGTTTTTTTGAGACTATTGGATATAGATATGTAGATACAGAAAGAACTGTCTATACCGAACAATTACATATATATATATATATATGTATATGTGTGTGTATATATATATGCACGCATACATATATATATATATATATAAATACTGACAAATGTGAAATACAGGTCACAATTTTGTATCGTCCTAGACTTGTGTGGATAATCTGCTGCCAGATAAGGCATATTAATTTCTTGGGAACTGACCGAGCTCTGTTTTGGAGTCCCTACGTAGGCATGTCTGAAGTTCATACTAGTGGCTTTTATCGATCTAATGTGGGTAGAATGCTAAGATATGTGCAGTGTTAATGATGTACATCTTCCTTGCAACTTTTAGCAGTTATGAAATGATTGATATACATACACGCATCTTAGTAGATTTAATAACGTTTATGTGAAGGGCAACCGTCCTTGTACATCAGTGTTATATCCCTTTTATCAGTTCTGTTCCAGTCACATTCCAGGCTGAATAGAGTGTCTTCTGGTGTTGTTCCCTTTCATCTCCAAAGCCTTGTACTGTGCCTTCCTGTTTCTAGGCAGAAAAGTTAGTGTCAGAATTCCCTTAATCAGTTTCCATTAACTAACATGAGAAAAATCACTGTAAGTGGAAGGCTCTCCATCACATTTTTATAAGTAAATACCGGTGCATATTTCTTAGATGCTAGTTGATGTCAGAGTAAATGGGAAAAGCAGTCTTTATCTATAGCTGTGGAAATAATCTTTATTGGAGCAAAAAGATGTTGCCATGTCAGGGTACGAAAAGCTTGATCATGTATTCAGAATAGCTGTACTTTGAGACAGCTGGCATTAGACAAGTAAGATAAATGGTGTAAAAAGTACGTTTGTTTGTGTTCATCTAAGCCTCTGGGTCTGACCTGCCAAAGTACAATGTTTCTCTTAATCTGTCAGTTCTGTATAGCAGCGGGTCACTGGAGAGCAAGGAACTGTGTGGGAATTGACCTGTCAGTATTGTGTGAGATGAAAGCCATAAATGTATTTATCATTCATAGCTGTGGCTTGATAGATATTTCAAATGAAATGGTCTCATTCTGCTGTTCAGTCTTGCTTGACTCTAAATAGTTAAATTTTTAATTGATGAATGCGCCACTCCCAGATATCTGCCTGGCTGCTTTCTAGTGCTTTGTATGCAATTCCTAATGAAACTGTAGATGTGCTCTTACATATTTACCAGTCAGTGCTTGAACAAAAAAAAAAAAAAAAAAATTGCTTTGTCACCTCACTTCATAAGTGTTAGTGCAACAAAAGTCCACAGGACATCTGACCACAATGAACATTAATACCAGCATTTGCAGCAAGGCTCTGCCAAAGCCCATCGGACACAATCTTGAAGTTTGAAGTGGACCCTTGAGCAGAGGAAGTAAACTTAAGAGGAATTTTATTTCTTTTTTAAAATTATGTAGTTGTTAAAAGTGCTTCCTGCAAGAATGGGCTACTTCTGAAATGTGACAGTAGACAATGTAGTGTGCTTGCACTTGTTGCTTCCACTTCCGGTTACTTCCAAGACAGAATCTGGTGATGCCATGATCTTATCATTAGTGTAGGTCTCTGACTCACTTTACTCATTGATTACTTGTTCTCATTCCACAAAGCTAATATTCCTCTGATCTTATAAGAGCCTGATTAAAGTAGGCGTCCAGAAAGAGGTGGCAGCACCATACTCATGTAGGCTTGCAAAATTTAGTATGTCTCTAGTATGTAAGCTTTTAGTCAAGTGCTGTTGACTGCAGGATAGAGTCATGGAACCTTCTCTCTGCGTTTATATCCAGATCAGAGTAGAGTACTGCTGACACGTGCTGTCTATAGACTGCTTCACTACATTGCTAATGCTCAGCTTTGTCTGCTACAGCATCAGACAGATTACTGCTTTGACATTTTCTATTGAGGCTCTCTAGATGTTGTTTCCCCCCACCCAAAGCTCGACTATCAGAAATGTTACAGTATACCTTCAAAAGGTAGTATTTCTTTTTTGCTTCCTCATAGATGTTTTTCAGAGAAAGTGTGCAACAAACTGCTGTATATATCTGGTGTTGGGATAGAAGATGAACTGCTTCTTCAGGAGTGTAACCTTGGTCACTTCAGAACTTCTAATAATGAGGTTGTGAAGGTGTATGTGCTAACTACACAAATGTTAGCAATCCATTGTTTTGCACCATTGAGAATACTTGCATAGAGACATGACACACATATGCATACTTGGGAACATTGAGAGACATGCACACCTACCTAACTCTTCTGTTGAAGAAAGTCTTTGTGTTGCCCGTTTGCACATGCAAGAATTTTACGTAGCATCTTTCAGGCTCTGTGCAGAAATGCTAAAGATCTTGATACTGTTCATACAGCGATGGAACAACCACAGTGGTTGTAAATGTTTACCATAGGCTTACACACTGAAGCAGATGTTAAAATCTGTTTTGTAGATCAAGGAAACTTTTTTTTTAATACTCCAAACTACTTTTCCTATGTTCATTAAATTTTTATTTCTATCTAGGAAGTTGTTAAAGATGGGCAGATAATATCTCAGTTTAAGCAAATGTATTTGATACAAACACCAGCACTGGCTGAACGCCCAGTCCTTGATGCCTTGTTTACACAGTGCATGGTGGTACTTCCCAGTGTATATTTGTATCTGCTCTCATTCTTTCTGCCCTCCCTCCCCCTTGAAACCTGTATATTTTCCAGCTGTTTTCAATGTCTTCATTGTGCTCCAAATTATATTGGCAATCCTGAGTATAACTAATTCAAGGATGTGATATGTGTTGTGGGTAGATGGCACGGGTTTCTGCAAGACTTTGGTTGTATTAACAAAACAACAACACTAACAAGAACAGAGGAAAACAACAACAATAACAACGACAAAAAAAAAAAAAAAAAAAAAAAAAAAAACAAAAACAAAGAACGAGCAATTCCAGATTCTTAGAACTCATTCCTCTTGCATATACACATAAGGACAGACATTAGATCATCTGAGTTTTCTCTAGATTTAAGCTAGACCTAGCTATTAAAAGATGAGTAATGTGTGAAACTCTGACAGTACTTTTTTTGTTGTGAGCTTTGTTTGGGGCTTTTTGTGACCTGGTGTATGCTCAAACGACTGCTTATGAATGAGTTTGTAGGGGACTCTTTAGAGTAGTGACTGGCTTCAGTCTATTACGTGTGCTAAGTAGCCCAAATTTTATTGTGCAAATTGCTTCCTTTTGTAAACTCTGCAGTTCTTTCACCTGCAAGACTGCTTCTGTGCTGCTGCTGAGCATAATGATTTTAAATAACTAATGTCTGAAGTTTCACTCTCTTTTCACATGTTGTGTCATGTGGACTGTTGCTGGAACACAACTGTGAATAAGCCTGTTATACACACTCTAAGCCTGCACGCTTCTTTCCAGAAAGGAATTGGCCATTTTTGAAAGGTGCTTCAGTTCTGCAGCTGTCATTCAGGAACTTACAAACAGTGTCTGAAACTGGGTAGTCAGAAGAGGTAAATGCTCCCTGGGGATTGTGCAGATAAATTGTGCATAATTCAAAAAACCCTTCTCCAGGTTACATAGCTACTGTTTCAGGAAGATGCAACTGAAATAAACGTATTTTCTGGCTCACAGTAAATGCAAAGACTAAGCTGAGACTGCTACTGCTTTTTGAGTTTCAAAATCAACTGGCCTAAGAATTCTTTATAGAGCCCTATTTTGTTTAAATATGCAATTCCAAAAGAGTCATAGATACAGAAGTTACAAAAATTAATTAGGAAATTGGAGGACACCGCAGTGTGCTCTGAGGTAGGAAAAGTCATCAGAGCTTTAACATGAAGCTTAGGAACAAGCAGCAATTGGAATATGTATTTTACTAGCCTTGATTTCAGGGGATCACAAAACACAACATATTTCTACAGCAGGGGGAAGATGGACTGTTGCACAAATTGTCTAAGCAAAACTGCATTTTAAAAAAAAATGCAGTAAATAAGGAAACTGAACTTTGACGGCAGTTCAGAGAGCTGGACTCTGCTATTGTGTGCTTACTGTAACATGATCTGATGGTAGCCAGCATTTTTGAAAATGCTGTGTATATCTGCCTGACTCCAGGGTAGGTGCTTGGGCTCTCCCTAGGCTTTCTGCTCAGATTAATATAACCTAAAAGCCATACATCTTGCTTATAGCAGATTCATTAATTGCTAGCATCTTAGCTAAAATGGCTAATACCACTTTTTAGGTATAAAGTTCAGAATTTAAAAGCTGATTTAAACTAAACTTCCCTGTTTCTTGCTTTATTTTCTGAAGTACTGGTTCAGTTTCAGATGTTACACTAAGGATATATCCCACAAACATATCTCAGTACTGAAGGATACTGGGATGAAAAACTGTAATGATGTGTTATGGGTTCTTTTTTTAAACAAATTGTGCAAAGAATGGCAATTTATTTTTTTATGATTTTCACTGAAACTACATCTAATGGTAATAAATGTGTTCTGAAGTCAGAAAGATTTTGTAATTTATAAACCATTGCTTTATACCTCTGGAGTATTCCGAGCTTTTGAGACTTTTATGATTGGTTTCATAACACAAAATATTCATGTAAACCTTACTTGGGATGGAAAAAAATAGCAAAGAATGCACCTGGTGTAGTCATGCTGTTCAAGCTGAGGAACCACTTGAAAGTGATCCAGCCGCCATCTGAATAGCAATACTTCTGTGCTTCGGTAGAAAATTTCATGCCTTGGAAGTCAGTAGTGTGCTCCTATGTACTCTGTCCTCTGTCCTCTTGGAGAACAGGGGCTAAGGCTGCTGATGGGCGTTGGAACTCAGCACATCCGAGAGCACATATGCACACCAACCATTTTGTTCCTAACAAAGCCTGTGCTGTTTTCAAACACTTTGTCTGAACATAATACTAGTGTTTAATAAATTGTCTTTGTTTGCGCAAAGCTTTGCCGCAGGAAAGCTGCAGAGAATTGTCCAAAGGTAAAACCCAATATTGCTGTAATTATTTAAATACTGGTCCTACTATAATTTTTCTAATACAGTCACGGTAGCTATTTGCACCATCATGGAAGGAACAAGACTTGTAATCTGTTGCCTATAAATACAGGCAGCAAGCAGGGATATAGTTAATATCTATATGCACTTGATCTTAATTTAAATGTGTTTTAGTCTTAAAAAAAAATCGGCCTTAGATAAGTGGGTATACTGAATGAGCTAATGGAAAAAAGTAATGGCAATAATGCTAACTAAACAGCTGAATAAAAATAGCCTCTTTGCTTTCATAGTGCTGTTAAAGGTCAGCTACTTAAAAGTACTGTGATTTTGATGATATAGAACTGGAATAGTATTGTTACAAATCCTATTGGCCTCTTGAAAATGCAAGCCTAAAAATAGCTGGGGTTGAGGGTGGAATCAACTATCCAATATGGGTGGGAGTTTATTTTTTTATATGGCGGTTGTACTGAAATTGTTCTTTTTCATATAGATCTGGTGAATCACTTCTGCCTGGTCAGACGTGGCAAATATGTTTTGCTAGGTACATGCAGATTGTTGCATAAACCTTAGAGATCACCAAAAATTGAACATCAGTCCCAGGTCTTGTCTAGGAGTTGTTCAGTCTTGGAAACACAGTATGGCAGCCATTTCCCTTTTACATTTCTTACACCGGTTCAAAAGTAGGTTCAGTGTTATTACTTTGCCAGGAAAGGGTTTGGACATTTTTGTTCTATTTTCCTCCCTCAAATAAAGTAATTTTGGACACGTTTTCTCTGTGTGTCTCTGCTAGTGGCTGCACAGTTAACATTTTTAGTATAGATTTTTTTTCCTTGCCCTTTGCTGTGCATTTAAAAACTAACAGATGGACATATGCACTCATGCTACTAAACTGAAGTGGAAAGGGTACCCGTCAGCTTTAAATATGTTGTATACCAGTTTAACATGACATGAAAGGAAAGCTGGGCTTGTGGGTTTTTTTGCTTTGTGAAAAGTGAGTTGGAAGACCTATAGCAGAATGAGTGTGGCAGAAGATGTTGAGCGACAATACTACATTGGTTGCTAAAAAGTGTTAATGTATTAATCTCTTTCTCTCTTTCTCCCCAGAATGAACTGCCAGATACTCATGCAAAATTCCACGTACTGTTCCTTTTCTTTGTGGCAGCCATGTTCTTCATCAGTATACTGTCACTCTTCAGCTACCACTGCTGGCTAGTTGGCAAAAACAGATCAACCATAGGTTAGTTAATTGGAACATGGAACTTATCCTTGTCCAGAAAACCAGCAAATCAATGAGAATGTGAGGCCTACAGGATAGGCCATCTTATAAATGGTATTTTTAAATACTGTGCAATAAGAAGCATATTTGGTAACATTAATTGAAGGTGAAACATATGGGAAAATTAAGCATATTTAGGGGTCCTCTGCTGGAGCCAAACGGATTCGTGATGAATGTCGATTTCTTTTATTTGTATTTTTGAGATATCTGAGGCAATCTGCATTTTTGTTGTGTTTTTATATAGTGTTAAGTATGTAACAAAATTGCTACTTGCTAGTAACCCTGATGTTCTAATACTTCGAGTAGCTGAGTGGCCCCAGCCAAGGTGAAGGCTCTACTGTATAAGAACATACTACATTTTGAACTAGATCCAAAAGAATATTCTTAAATCCTGTGAAATAAAATGGACCTTGCGATTAGAAAGTGGCTCGTAAAGGCATTGCAATAAAAATGAAAATACTGATGCACATTTCCTAAATAATAAGAGATTTACATAATTTCTATGCCTAAATGTTTTAAGTGGCCTTGACCAACATAAGCAAGTTACATGCATTAGTTAAAATATCTGAAGTTCTTGCTAAAGCATTTTTGAAAGTGCTTTTTGCAGGGCAGGAACAGGAACTGGTGGGTCTGGTGATTAAAAATTATTTTCAGCTTGCTAGAATTTTTTGATGGAGGAGAAGGAATTTTTTTGATTGCTTGACAGGAGAGTTGAGTCCTTTTTCTTTTGGCATATCTACAGATAAGGAATATTCAGTCCCATTTTTAGCTTTGAAGAAAATTTTAGCATGTTACTTGCCCGAAAGTCAGTGGTCATCATTGGCAACACAGTCAGTACTTTATTTATTTACTTTTGGTATCATGATTGTAAAAAGACATGTTGTTGATACAGGGAGAGCAATGAGTCCTCTCAGTTCTTGGCCAAGGGTATAACTGGACTGACTAGGAAAATGGTGGTGGTTTGCTGCAGTTTGTGGTGTGTCTGTGTTTCTAATGTAATAGATCTCATCTTTCTCTAATACTACGGGATGCTCTTAACCTAAGTATGGTTTTAGGTCCAGTAGTGCTTATGATAAATTGCTTGTAGGAGAGGAAGTCTGCTCAAAGAAGGCTTTACAGGCCAAAGAGAGAGCTAACCGTCAATGAATAAGGGATGTGGTATCTTTGGCACGCTGATGGTACTTAACTCTTTTTCAGACCTTGTGTTAAATGTAAAGAGAGAAAGATGACTGTTCTGTTCACGTGACTTTCTTACCTTTCATTTCTATTTTTGTCATTAACCCTGTACCTTTTTTTTATGCTCTCTGAGTACTTGTGATGACTATTTTTTCTTCCATAATACACATCAAGATCGTCTCAGCTTGCCTGACACTATTTTCACCTAGAGAATTTTGAGTCTGTTTATTCATCTTCTCTGACTCCTTATCACTTTAGAGATATTGCATGTTTTTCTTTTACAGAAACATTCCGCGCACCCACATTTCGAAATGGCCCTGATAAAAATGGCTTTTCTCTTGGATGCAGCAAAAATCTGAGGGAGGTTTTTGGAGATGAAAAGAAGTATTGGCTACTCCCTATCTTTACAAGGTATTCAGTCTGAATGGGAATGAATTGGGGAATAAATTGATTCTGTGACATTCACCTTGCCTCCCCTCCTGAAAAATAAAGCACATCTGAAAAGCTGACTTGTAAATCCTGCACAATAAATATTGGTGTAAGGAAAATGTGCAGGAGAAAACCGAGCAGACTGCACAGTTTTCATTCAGAGACAAGGGCTTTCTAAGTTATGGAAGTTTGGAAAGCTTTGAGATTTCAAAAACTGTACACCTTTTGGTGGTAGTATTAGTGCCTGATTATAGAGCAGAAATCAGCAACTCAGAGGAGATCCAAATGCTTGAACTTCAGCTGCACTGAAACAGCGTTGCTTTAAAAACATGCCCTCTTACCCCTGAAAACACTTGACAGCTTTCCTTTTGCTGTAGATGACAGTTTCGGTATTGAAAGCTGCCTGAGAAAGTGCATGTAAATAAGCAGCAGTGCAAAAAAAAAAAAAAAAAAAAAATTGATGCTATGCAAAATACTGGTTTTAAAACTTCAGCTGAGCCAGTGTTAGGGAATTCCAGATAAGCATCAGGGAGGCTTGATGAAGCAAGACTGACCTGCTGCCCACTCCCACCACTCCCGAAAGTCAGCAGAACAAAGTGGGCACTGCTTTTTGGGGTTTTTGCATCAGTTTAAAATGTTGACGAACCCATTTATGAAGCTGAGGTCTGGTAGCAAACAGCAGAGGTGATAACAAGATCTTAAATTGCTTCATCTGTTTGCTCAACTACTATGACTTTTCATGTGATTAAAGACAGAAGCTATATTGTAGAGGGATCGGTCTGTTTTGCCACCACATTTTATCCTGAATAAACTTGCTTTCCAAGAAGGCTTAGCTAACCTCAAAATGATGGGTGGAGGGAGAAGCATGACCACCAGAATATTATTTATGCTACAGCTTCTGGGGTTGTAAATACCAGGTTGTCTGACTACATGCACACGGTGGTTTGGGGGAAGACTAGAGCTACAGTCTACAGAGACAGAGTGATGTTTCTGAAATACATAGACTAGTGCTGTGCTCAGCAATCCACACTGAGTGGAAGGGTGGGAATCATTTGAGCTTCAAGATTTAATTAACTGATCATCCGGCTTAGTGGTGGCACTGCCTTGCTCAAGTCTGGAGTTCCACACTGCATTCAGTGATTGCTTCGAACCTGTAGCGTTTGCCTTTTGCATTGGTACACTTGTTCAGTTTATTTAAGTCAACTACAACAGCGATTTGAATCTTTGTTTCTGGTTTAGTTTGGGCGACGGGTGTAATTTTCCAACTCGTTTGGTGATTATGGATCCAGAGCAACTTACCATCTCAAGCCAAAATGAACCTGCCAAAAGGTAACTATAGCATTTTAGATTCTCATTTTGTACTGTTTTGTACTTCATCCAGAGATAAAAATTGTTTCACAATTTTTAAATTTTTTTTTTATACTTACTGTCATGTTCAGAATGAGTTTGTAAGTCTTCAGAGAAGGATAGGATGGATCACGACTGAAAAATGGTGCTGCTTGATGCAGAAATGCTGTTTCTTGGTTTTGACCTATAACAAAAGGATATGGCTCTAAGGAAATAGTAACACAGAAGGTAAGAGCTTACTGGCTCTTAACAACAATCAACAAAGTCCTAGGGAAGACTGAATAACGGTCCATGGAAAAAAAAAGTTTGTTATTTTTTGGAATGAGAGAAAGGCAAGGTGTATATATCATTTGTATTTCACCTCCTTCAGCGTGCTTAAACCAGGGATACTGAGATGCAGTTTGCAGTGGCTGTGGCTATTGGTGGGTTTTAGCACTGAAGGGGTTTTAGTTCATTACTCTTTATCCCTCCAAATTTGCATGTTTTGTGTCTTCAGTGTATTTTCAGGAAGTTGCTTTAGATTCAGAGACACAGGAGTATGAAACTTCTGGGGATGTTTACATGTACCATTTGAGAAGTCTTCGTTATAGCTTAATGAATTTGTAGCTTAAGGTTGTTGGCAGCAGCAGTTATGTGAGTTACCAGGCATTAGGGGGGTTCAGTGGCAAGACCGAGAAGAAGTTGCTTCCAGCTCAACATAACCTGTGGAATTTACACATGAGCAGGACCCTTGTGCAATCACCAGAGTATCCTTTTGCGTTAGCAAGATGTTCAGCCAAAGACTAGCTTTTACTGATGGGGTAAGATGGCATTAGATTGTTCTTCCAGACGGTATTGGTAGGTTTTCTTTTTAACTGTGTGTCAGTAGCATTGTTGTCAGTATGCTGTTTCTTGTCTATCAGTCTGTGCTTTTTTTCCATTAGAACTGTGAGTGGCCTATGTCAGGTAAGGGTGTAGATTAATGACCGAAACAAGCCTGTAGGAGAATTGTGTCTGGAGGCCAGGGGCCATTTTTAGTTGGCAGCGTAGTTTTGTTTGTTTGCTTTGCTCTTAAGTAACTTCATGACTCTAGGAATGTCTGAAATAAGCAGCTACTGCTATTACAGAATTCCTGTTGACTTTGCTCACTTTTCAGCTCTGGAGCCAATCAGTCCTTTCCTACTCGACCACTCAGTGAATCACAAAATCGATTGCTAGCCAGTGACAGTCAGTGGGTGGAAAGTGGCCCTGAAGAGGAAAATGTTAAATCAGGTAGCCTGCACCATAACACTTCTGGTGATTCTGTGGTTTTGTTTGTGGTGGGTCTTTCCATCTATTTTTATTTTTTTAGGCCTGATAAGTCCTTAGGAATTGGTTGGAGTCAGTAGAAGAGTATTTGTTCTGTAGAATCAAGTCAGCGTGTTTATAAGTTAAGGCTAACTTGTGTCTCATACTCTGCTCCAAACCGAGTTATTACACTAAGGTAATGGATAGATAATTCTCACTTTTGTACTTCCTGTTCTGAGATTTTTAGATCTTTTTACACTTGATTAGGAGGAGGAAAATATTTTTTTCTAAAATACACATAACATGATAAATGTGCTTTGTGGTTTGAAGTCTTTGCTATTTGTTGTGCAAATCTGCGAAAACACATAATTGAGATTCTCTCACATTTTAGGTGCAAAAAAGCATATTATAGTTTCATTGGAAAGCTGATCTCAGTTTATTACTAACCAACCATCTCAGTGAGAAACAGGTAAGACCAACATAATCAATTGCCATTTCTGTATGTGTATGAGTAAACTAAAGTAGGAATCTTGAAGGCAAAAGTCACTAATTGTGGAATGCAGAGGAGTCCTCTGATGTTGGATGAGTAATAGAAAAGTCTAAATAAAACTCAGAATGATTGTCCAGAAGACAAGAATGGGAGTAATGCTGTAGTGCAGGAAACATGGACTGGCTAGATCTGAGATGAGTCAGACTAATCCTGTAATTTAGATTGAAGTGGCTAGTGCTGGCTTTCTTACCTGACCAGGGAAAATAATCTAATCTGCTAAATGCACAATTTTGAGATGAAGTGCTGTCTTGAGGAAACGTTGTTCTTAAGGAACAGCTCCTTAACTGTCTTAATCGTATATTAGTGGGCCATGCTGTGCTCTTTAAGAAGCTGTTTGCACACAAGGAAGGAAGCTCAATAGGTAAATATATGTGTCTGCATACAGGCAGCTTCATCACACTTGGAATTGACAGTGATCTTTTATGCAAGAGCTCTTCATGCAATTTGCATTTAAGAAATACAGTGAGTGCTGCTGCATATATGAAAGCTTCCCCTAGTGTATTTCCAGTGACTAAATTAGACTTCTGTGTTGACTTCATACTGTGGTGAAGTTTATAAACCCCACTAATTTTTACTCTCTGGAAGAGAAGCAAATCTTATTTGGACAAGTAGCAAGCAAGCATAGATCCTGAGGGCTGAATCGTTCACCTCTCTTTGACTTTTTCTTTCTTTCTTTCTTTCTTTCCTTTTCCACTCAAACAAACAAACAAAAAAAAAAAAAAACAAAAAAAAAAAAAAAAAAGAGGGAGACAAAACTTGCAAGGAATTCCTGGGTTTTTTTAAGAGAAAACACAATATTTGAGTGTTGTGATCTCAGTAATTTTAGGATCACTTTTTTTTTTTTTTTAATAAGCCTTCTGACCTAGAATCATTGCGGGGGAAGGGGAAGGCTGGTTTGGTTTCAAGAAAAAAAGTCTGTCTGAAAGGTCTTTGTTGAGGATGGTGTGATGCTTAGGCTGATGTTGGTCAGACTGCTCAGTGTAAACTCCTACAAAAACCAAAATTAGACTAGTTAGTGGTACTTACGAAAAAACTACTCAACCATGAGAACCCACCAATAATGATCTTTCCCTTTGCAACTTTATATAAATGTGCAAATGAATGTCCCAAGCAAGGGACTCCTTTCAGCCCCTAAGTATATAAAAACTAGATCTAAACAGGTTACAGAGGCTTTTCAGTTCTTAACAGAAAGGAATAGATATCTTCTGAGAGCAGTTCATCCCAGCAGCCTTTGATAGGATATTACAGCAAGGTCTTAATCTTTCTTTCCACTGACCCAGAGAAGGGAGCGTAAGTGACTGGGGATTACCGCCAGTTTGCCGCCGCTTCCTCCTTGTGCTCGGGGGCAGGGAAGGCCACACATTCCCACCCTGCTCCCTGTGGCTCCGCTCTCACAGGAGACAGTCCTCCATGAACTTTCTTTGGACTGAGTCCTTCCCATGCTGCCCCAATGTGGGTCACCCCCGCATGTTGCAGTCCTCCCAGGGCCAAACTACACGAGCAGGGGCTGCTTCTCCCCTCAGAGTCCCGGCTTCCTTTAAGTGCAGATGTCTGCTCCAGTGTGGGCTCCTCCACAGGCGTCAGGTCAGCCTCTGTTCCACCAGTGACCCCCATGGGTGGCAGGGGGGGCAGCCCTACCGTCTCACCGCAGGACACAAGGTAGAGGTCTCTGCTCTAGCACATCTCTCGCCCTTCCTCCTCTCTTCCACTGACTTCAGTGATCACATAGGTGTCTTCCTTGCAACTCTTCCCCAGAAGTCCTCCACCCCCCTCCCAGCTTCCCCTTCTTAAATACGTTATTGCAGAGGCACTGCCACTGTTGCTAATTGCCTCAGTTCTGGCCAGAGGTGGGCCTGACTTGAAGGCAGCGGAGCTTTCAAGAAGCTTCCCAAAGGGGCCACTACTGTAGCCCCCTCCCCAGGTACCAGAAACCCTGCCACACAAACCCAGCACAGCTGAACAATTAACTGGTAATAGTTTGAGATTAATTTCCTTTCCATCCTCCCTCTCTTCCTAAAATCAGGCCAAATTTAATAAAGAAAAATTGTGTACTTTGTATCATACTTGCCTAAACTACAGAAGTTTTAAAAGCTGTGTAAATAAATACTGTGTAATTGCGTTGAATGCAAAAGTATTTTGGTATTTGTTATCTCAAATAATGGTTAACTCAGTAGCGCAATGTTTCATCTGTTCTGAGTTCAGTTGGATTTGATCACCATTTCTGGAGGACAAGGTGGTTAATTCCAGTCTACCTGTAATTGTAAGCAATTGTGCAATAACTGTGAGATCCAACACAAGTTCCATGTACTTTCATATACCCTGTAATAGACTAATAGTTGTATTTTTCAATTTTATGCCTATAACATGAAGCAGAATCAGTCAAAGTCATGGCTGACAAGCAAAATTCCCAGATTATTCTAGAGAAAAGACCGTGATTTGCAAAAGAAGGCCAATTCCCCAGCCTCACCTAGGTAAATATAATTTGAGTCCCCGTATCTATCAATTTCATTAAAAATGAATGAGCAATTCTTGCCAATCAGGGATCCAAGTCACTTTAGCCACAGGTCAGTGGTGATGGATTGATGTTCCTAGTGCAGATAATCTTCTAAAACGTAAAAGGTTTAAAACAAAAACAAAACAAAACGACTCACACCTTCCAGAAAGCTCATTATGAGTTGAAGTTACCTTAACTGCTGTCCTGAATGAGGAGTCTGTAGATCACATTACTTAGCTGCATTCTTGTAATGCCCTATGATCTGTTTTTTCAAAGCTAAAGATGTAATCCCACTGACTACTTTTTTCGTTTCACTAGGTTTCTACAACACATTTTGTGCTTGAATATTACTCAGTTTTGTTTGGAAGAAGTTGATCAGTAAAAAAATGGAACATGAACATTTTAGGAAGAAACAAGAAATTCAAGTTTCTGCACAGTACAATGGATTCTTGTAAGCACTATTGCAGACCAGGGAAGTTAAGACAGATGCCTTAAGATTCTTAACGTGCATTTATGCAACACTGAATAATATACTGCTACCAAAGGGCCAAATCCTGAAGTGCCCTGCTTGGATGCACAAGGTCCAGGGTGGGAACTATGCATTTCTGTTATGCTGCAGTGGTGGAGGTAGATGCAGAGATACCTACCTCCTCACGGGTAAGCTTCATACCTTAGGCACTGCAGAAGTCACTTCCATAGCAGGACTCCAGGGTACAGAAAGAAAGAAAAAAGGAAACGAAACAAAAAAAAAAAAATGAACATAGAGCATGGCCGGTGAGTCTGAAGTGCAACTATACACAGTTCAAACACCGGGTGATGGGGAAGGGACTTGATGATGTCTTCTCCCCTCTTCCTGTTAACCAGTCTACCCCATGATCATAGCTCTCCCAAGTCTTTTGGGCCCGAGGATTCCTTCTACTAGCTGTGCTTTGGAGCAGGACAATGCCAACAACATAAAAGCCTTTTACTTGGGTGTTGCTTTTTCGCTATAGGATTGAGCCCCCTCATCATTTTAACTTGATTTATTTAACCATATCAAGAACAGAGCTCAAAGAAACAAACTTCGTTTTTAGTTGAAAAAACATGGATTATTACTTTACAACAGTTGTCTATCAGCATACAAAGAAAAGCCAATCCAAAAAGGAATTAACAATTGTTACATCTTCTGTTAATGTCTGCAATGTTCTGTATGAGGCAATAACAAAACGGTAAAGTACCCCTGAGAAAAACCTTATTGCAGCTGAGTGTTGGTAGAAAATGGAACTGGAAGAATACTGCTTTTTCTGTGGGACCCTTGATGGTTTCTAAATACTGTTTTATACTTTTGTTTTATCTTTTTAATAAAGGCACAAGTTTTTATTGGTTCTAAAGTAGCATTTAAACAAATCTCAAGTACTTACGAGAAAATTAGTGTTGGATCATACATCTGTGTTAACACACTGAAAATTTGTATGCTTTAGTCTGCCACTTTCAAGTCCAGTTTAAGTGATGCTGAAATTTCCAAAAATTGAGTGCTTTTTGCAGTGATGTACCTGTTCCCAACAGACAAAATATGTTTCCTGTGTGAAGAATAGCCCATCCTAAGATCAAGACCTACAGCAAACAACATGAGGGATTTTTTTCCCCTCACTCCTTTTTTGGAGAAGACTTCTAAATCATCTTCGGGTGATATTGGAATTTTACACCTGTAAAAAGTGACAAATACTATTTTCCTGTCAGTAACTTTTCTGATGTTCAGCTGATGCTGAGTACAAGTAGACATGAGCCCTTTTGTTACAGACTGAAGGCAGTAGCCAAGTTGATGATCTGGGCCAAAAGAACCTGTTTGGTTTCTTTCCCAGACTGATTGCTACTTAAGTCAAATATGTTTATGATGGAGATACTAGAGATACTAAGGTATCAAGTATACTGTAAGGTTTAAAACAAGTATTTTTTGTCTTTGGAAAGAATAAATTTTTCTTAGATATTAACCTTCTAGAAAAAGAACACTTTGAGAACCTGTGAACATGATTTAGTCGCTGTTGAATGTTCTTGAGACAGAAGTAATGGTCCAAACTTGCATGTTTTATAAAAGTTGCAGAATGTTTCTTCAAACTTTGTACAAGAAATTTTGCGTTTGCTGATTTCAAAACTTACAAAACCATTTGCTCCACATTGAGCTGAAAGGTTTAGCTTTTTCTTCTCCAATGTCAAGTGAGAAGTGTTCATCTGAATGTAAGCTCTCAGCAGTACTGCACCAGCAGAATTTCTTGGGGAGGACAACAGAGACAGAAGACTCCGAGTTCAAATGGCTCATTCTGAATACCAGGATTTACAGCCCCAAACACTGGTGGAACTGTAATGGAGGGCCTGGGATATCATCTGGCTTTTACTGCATCAGTGTATGACAGCTGAGATAACACATACTTGCACAGACATCATCTAGCAGAACTATATGCAAAAATCCATGTCTCTAATATGGTAAGTATCACTGATACAGCAATATGGTCTCTGCTCACCTCCCATCCCCCAAAATGCTTGATATATCCCCATATGAATGTATATCTACTGTAGGCTAACAACAGTATAACTTGTTTGATTTCTTAAGTCAGGATAGTTAATCTACAGGAAAAACTGCAAGTAAACAGATGGGGCTAACTCCATGTGTGTTCTCTAGCAAGTGCTGGTCTTCTGAAACCAGTTCTTTGTATATCTGATGGATGTTTTTGTGGCTTTTCATAAAGAGCTGATGTTTCTGACACCTTTATGCAGATCACAGGTACATTTTGTTCCAGAGGTTTCTCAAGTTTCAGATAAGAAAAGGAGAAAAGCAGTGTGCTTAAGGATACTCTTGAAGCCATAATTACTTTGTGTAAAAGCAGGTATTACTGAAAAGTCACCCTGACAAATATGAAACATAGTAAAATGATTCCAATATGATTCTTCCAAATTCACAAACCCCAACCCCCCTTTTCTTTCCCCTAGGGGAGCTGGTTACTAAGAGAAACCCCAGATATAAAGGAGAAAAGTTCTTTAAGGAAGCTGTATTGAGGAACTGTTAAGGGCACACGATGCCCTTAGGGGATGCCCTTAGGCCCTGGCTGTGGAGGAGGTATCATGGCTGTGGGGCAGGACAATGTCATCTGTCTTTGAGTTCTGTCCTGACAGCTCCCTAGCCATAAGCAAGGGCACTTGGCGCTGTATCAGAGTAGGAGAGGCCAAAGGAGGGAGCAAGCTAGGAATTTAAAAAGTTGGTGAGAACAAACAGGTGTTTGGCTGTTGAGTTGCTAGCAGACTTAGGTATCACTGTCAGCACAGGCAGCGGGCTGCAGGGGTGCTCCAGGAAATAGGTCTTTTTGGCCCATGCACTGAAGAGCTGAAAACGTCCAGTGGATGCAGTGAGAAAAGCAGCCCTGCCTGTTCAGGAGGCCAGAAGGGAGATGGATCCTGAGGAAAACAACTGTTTGGGGTGCTGGTCACGTTGTACATGGTGGCTTTGTGCTTTAATCTACTCTGTATAAGCAAGTTTTGAAAATACCTAGATTGTCACTAAAAATAACAGCCCTTAAGCTTTTAGTTCCACCAAAATAATTACTATTGCAAGCCATAAATAGTATTGTAGTTACTGTAGGATAGTTGGCATTGGCTGCAATTAGAGACTATGCTTTAGTATTTCTTACTGCCTATTTCTTTTTAAAAAAAATCCACATACACATGCAAGTCATACACACAAAATAACATTAAACTCCCATGGGAGGACAGAAGCCTGTCCTAGGGCAAGATTTCAGTATGATTTCTCCTCGAGATTTCTTAAAAGTCTTGAGGTGTTAGTTGTCCCTATGAAGACGAGACAGGGAGATCCACGAATAGAAAATACCTAACACTACACAGCTAATGCACTTGGTTTTTTTTCTTACAGTTATTTATTCACAGGGTGTACAACATACACATCACTGCTGCTCCTACCAAAGGCACATTGTGGGAAGAGGTCAGGAAGAGGTTTCTGTCATAACTGACTTCCTACAGCATTATCCTGAGATTGCAGTGTCACAAGTTAGACACATCGTAAGCCTTTGATTAAAAACTTGCGCTTTAAATATTCAGAGGGTTATTTTAGAGGGCGTTTGAGCACTTCCATTTTTAGCGATTTGAGTAGAAGTGATAATAATGTTTTTGTTAAAGCTGCCCCTTGAGTGTGAAATTTGCAGGTACCAAGCTACTTTTCATATGCTATTAGAAACAGGTCCTGTTCTCCTGAGTGCTAAAATGCCTGCAGTTTTCAGCTACACTTTCTTCCCTCGTTTGATCTTCTCTGGCTCTTCTATATTGTAAATAACCTTTCGGGGTTTGGAGGTTTTGGTTAAGTTCAATACCATTCAGTGTGCACTCAAAGAACTTCTTAATCTGAAGTATGGTCCGGTTTTAGCTTTTTAGCTCACCAGAGCCCCAAGAGGATGAAAAAAGCAGCGTTTGCAGCAGCATTAGTATCTGGCAAATTTAGCAAGAGATGCATTGACTCCAACATAGATTAACCAGATCTGCCTAGATCTGGAGCACTGACTGGCCATATTTATTTAAAAAAAACAAAAAAAAACACCACACAAGACCGCACAAAAAAACTCACCCACAACTTTGAGCTTCATAGTGTATGTTCTCTGAGGACGTGGTCTAAAATCATATATAATTGGGAGGTTCAGGTATGCATTTACAGAGGCTCCAAACAGCAGCTACTTTAACTCAGCGGAGATCAAGAACACATCTTTCACAGTACCTAAAAAATAGCTAGGCATGCAACATCAGAGGCTCTTCTATCCCTAAATGGCACCAAAGAGAGCAGCTGCATATTAAGTGTTTTGTTATAATACTGAACATTTACTAATTTCTATCAATTTATTTTGTATATATAGACAGCTTTTTATATGCATTTTTCTTAATTACATAACTGTCATTAAATGTAATGAAGCTGCAAGTTGTAGTTAGTTTTAATGGTGATTAAAACTGGTGTTTGGCTGTTTGTTTTCTTCAGCAATTACTTGAATCTTGTTTCCATTAGGTAGTGAAGTATGATGTTTACAGGATTGCTTTCTTTGGGTTTGGGGGGTTTCCCCATCTTTCTTCCCATGCCCTGCCCCAATAACCAGAGGGCACGTGCTCAGCACTTAAGCAAGTGTGTTGGGGATGAAGTATCCACCTTTGTTGTCACCAGAGCGTTAGATCATGCAGGTTCCCTTCCATTCACGTTACTTGGCTGACAACTTCCACGTTCTAGCATGTTCCTCTCCAATCTCTCTTGTCCCTTAGCCAGTTGCTATCAGTCAGCTTTATTGTGAGAAACTGAAATCTTTCTGAACAGCAATTTACAATTGTAAAACTGTCATAAAAAAAGGCAGCGTTCCTGATGTTAAACACCTGCCCCCTCTCCCTGTCTCCTTTTTAACTTAGATGAATTAAACATCCCTGGGTTTCCTCTGTAATTATTTTTCTATTTGCCAGCAAGGATCATCAACATTTGCACTAATCAAGTCCCAGCGGTTCTCCTTCCACATAGTTATTTTTAATTGTCCTACCTAAACTTGTAAATGAGCTGTATTTAAGTTTGAGGTGAAGTGTAAAAGATGTCTGTAATAATGACACATTTATTGTATTTTTTTGTATGTTACAGATAGGACTAGTCCTATGCACAGAGAAAACATGTTGCCATTTATAGTTTAATACTTGAAGTAACTTTTTAAAATGGGCTTTTATAAATGAATTACACAAAATCACATTGCTTTGCCTGGAAGTTCCTTCATGTTTTAATTGTATTGTGCAATTTCCCCATATGTATACTTTTTCATAAATGTTATCTTAAGCCATTTATAGACGTTGAAAGCGCATTCACAATTTTGTATGTCAGCGTTCAGACCTGTTCATACTTCTCTGAGAAAGTTGTTCCATTGTAGGCCTCCTTTCCAAAGTGATAAAATATGAATGGACATGACACTTGAATTCATCAGTGAATGCAACATCAACTTAATAAAAGAATCTGAAACTTTTTAGCTGTAATGTGCGTATCAGATCAATGAGAAAAACTCCCTACCTGGGAACCATTTTGTAACTCTTCCAGTTTTTACACTCCACCTGCAACAAACCTAAGATTACGCTGACTCTTGGCACATCGTCCAGGTCACTTGGTCTTGAGAGGGGAAATAAAAAAAAATGACTTGTGGCTGACTATTTTCTTTCGGACACTAAACATAACTTAGAAATCAGATTGCCACTTAAACACCAATCAGCTGTGTTCCTTTTAGATCAGAAATAATTTCTGTAAGAAGCAATGACAGAGGCACTTAAATTCGGCAGTTCACAAGGTGTTAAAAAACTGAAACATTTTACAATCTTCCCGGAGTTCTAGCTTCATACACCCAATTTTGTAATTCTAGTTCATCTTGGTCCTTGCATGCCTGAAGTATTGTCAGTTGTGTCTCAAGTACTGATGTATACAGAAGTCTCGCTTCAGAAGGGAGAGGGACCAGTAAGAGCCATCTGGTCAGTCCTAGCAGATCATCCCTTTCAACAGAGCAGGTGTGCTCTCCTAGCTTTCAAAAGGAAATTAGTGAGGCTACACATCTAGTTCACATCATCATCATTGCACTTGGTAACTCAGGCTGTTTTATGCAAAACCCCCGAAGAACAGAAGGCAGGCAGATGGCAGAGAGAGCCACAAAGTACTGGCTTTTTCTAAAGAGACAATAATAACTCAAGATACACTGTTCTGTAGGACTACTTTTTAATGTTAGATTTTGTATACTGTAACAAAGTCTTGTTTGTCATCTACCCTTATTATATTGAATTACAAAACTGCCATAGTAGGTACAACAGCAGATCCCAGGGTAGTGCATAATACACACCAAATATAAATACACCGTTATTCAAGTCCACTTTTTTGACACATTTAAGTGGTTTAAATGATCACTGATATATCTGTGCTCAGGAAACTTGGCTCTCATCAGGATTTTGAAAGCTTCCCATCTTGCACGTCTCTGTTCCGTGTTATGTTTGTACTCCTGTTCCCGTGTTAGGTAAGGTCGACTCAGCCAGTATTCATTCTCTGCTTCAATTTCCAACCTTCGGATCATTGCTTCCTTCATTGAAAGGGTAACCACTCTTGGTCGCCTGTACTTTCCAATCCACTGTTTTCCAGGAATTCTCTTTTGGAGTAATACTGTTGTTAAAAACATTATGCCTCAAAACATAAACAAAAACATAACATTACTTTAGGGACAAAAATTCAAAATTTAACATGAAAAATTAAAAACTTGGCACGCACTTACTCCACTGCCTGTTAGCTGGCTGTTTTGAAGTTCAGAACCTGATATTCACAACTAACCATTATGTACGTACAGTAGACAGTATGATAAGATATTGTAGAAACCCAAGACCAGAAAAGGGAAGTGGAAATCTTTATTTAGCTGAAAAGTGTACTCAGTTATCCTTACATGAAGATTAAAGCATGTCCTCTGTAAATTATTTATGCAAAATCTAGTCCTAGGTATTATTAAAGGATTCGCTTCATTCACTACTTCTTCAAATAGCTAACTCCTGTCAAAACAGGGAGTATTTCCAGGCCTATCTTCTAGATCCACATCTGGCCATTCCTTCGTACTAAGTTTTGAACCACAGTCTCCCCATAAACTTACTGGTATACAATTAACTAGTCTTGTACTTTAACTATGGGAAATGTGGTTTGCAGAGAAAAACAGTATCCTATTAGACCAACTAGCACGTGTAGAAAGCACAAATACAGTTTCCAACACAATATACAGGCTTAACAAAGAGGCAAGAAAGGCCAAGCTACATTTCGATTTGACACACGTGCTATTCATTAACCTCTAATAGTCCTAAACGTGCCTAACTTCTAGGTCTCTCATTACACGGTTACTTGCATTAGCAAGCCAGCCAAGCACTTTAACGCGGCATAAACCTGCACTGGTGCGGAGAAACGCCACCCCGCCATACCCCGTTCCCATCGTACAACTGCACGCTGATCTCCCACTGCCCGGGCCGGTTTGGAAGCGAAGCTGTGGGGCTCTGCGGGGGCACAGCCGCCTCAGCCCCCACTCCCCCCCCCCCCCGCCCCGGGTGGGGGAAAGCAGAGCAGAGCTGCCCGTCCCCACAGCTCCTCGCCCTCAGGCCCGCGCCAGGAGCCAGCCGTGACGCCGGGGTTCAGCCCGCACGGCGGATCCCCTGCCCCTTCCCCACAGCGGTTACCTTCCGGTGCGGGGCCGAGCCCGCGCTTTGGGGCGAAGAAGCGCCGTGAGAGGCCACAACCACCACCCGAGCTCTGGCGCTAGCGGAGCCCCGCCATGCCCTCCCCTCCCCCGGCGCTCACCGGCTCACGGTGCCGACCGCGGCCCTGTCGGCGGGAAGCAAAATGGCGGCGGGGGCGGGCGGCGCCTCTCGCGAGAGCTGGCGGCGGGGGGGGCGGGGCCCGGCTTTCGAAGCTGGCGGCGGGCAACTGCCGTTTGCCTCAATAAGCGCTCAGCCTTCCCTTCCGTTTCCTTTCCCTTCCCTTCCTTGGCTCGCCGTGGGACCGCTCTCCGCTCCAGCCCCTGGGCAGCCCCAAGCGGCTGTTTGCAGGGCCTGGGGCTACCCGGGACGGTGCAGGGGGGACCCTCAGCCGGGCGTCGCTGACGTTGTTCCTCAGGTGCCCCCCCCCCCCCCCAACCCCATTTCCCCGCCGGGCGATGGACGCGTCGAAGGACTTCTTCGGCAAGCTGCGCGCCCTGGCCCTCTCGCTGGAGAAGGAGACGAAGCGGCTCGAGCGGGCCCTTCGCAAAGAGGACACGGGTAAGCGCCTCCCGCTCTGCCCGGCGCGGCCGAAGCCCGCCGGGGCCTCCCCCGTTCCCAGGGCCGCAGCGCTGCCGTGCCCGTCCCAGCCCAGGCAGCAGAGCCCCCGGCCTGCAGGATGTGAGAAAGCTGCTCCCCGTGTCTCGGGGGGATGGGTGTCGCGATAGCCCGAGGGGCGGGGAGGGCGGTTGCTCCTCCGAAGCCCTTGGTTTGGGTTCCCGCCCGCCATTGTGCCCCTGCGCTCCTCCGGGCGTGCGGAGGTGGGTCTGTGGTGGGCTGATGGCTCCGGGGACGGGCCTGGGAGCACCTCGGCAGGGCATTATTTGGGCTCCCCCCTCATTGTCTCTCGGAGCTCCTTTGTGGGTGTGTAGGTGAGCTTTTATCACGGGGGAAAACGGGATGAACGGGGAATCGCGTTCTTGCTTTTATTGCTGTCGTGGATCGGCACAGGAAAACGCATCTGCAGGGATTGTTCTCTCTCCGCACAGGTAGCCCAGGCTTCTCATCGGATTTATTGCCCTGCTATGTCTTGTCACATAGCAGGTGTCCTCTTTTACACTATTTGCATTAATCTTGATTTTCAGTGAAATAAGCAATGGATGCTGCATGTGTGAGTAATACTAACATCCGCCCACGTGCAAATAGGGGAGAAGAATCAGCTTTTTGTTGACTGATGTTTTTCAGTGGTGTGTATATAATTTTTTTTCAACTTTTAGTATTATTTCGAGTCCAAGCTCTTTAAGGATAAAAATATAACATAAATAATACTTGATAACCCAGGGACCTACCTATTGTACCAACATCCTTTATACATTAATCTCTACAGTCTTAGGGAATCCTGTTCAGTTTCTCCATGTACTTTGACATACTGTGCAAATTGCAGTCTCATGCTGTGAAAGGTACCCAATATGAACTAGTTCCTCTTTGGTTTTCTCTGTCCGGACTCTCTTTCTCTAACATGTGACTCCAACATCTCTAATATAGGAGATGATGTTCTGATGTAGAATGAACTTGCATGCTAAAATACGAATACCCCTTTTTTTCATTCAAACCCTTTTATGTGAACATGCATATCAAAGACTCTGAAGATGAATCTCCAGTAAGAGTCTTACATGATCTCCACTGTGAAATCAAGACTCTGAAGGTAACATCCTGCTTCCTTCTTGAAAAATTGGGGGGGTGGGGGGGTGTCCATAAACTTACAGTTCTGTTTTCATCATTAAGCCACAATACAACTTTGTTAGTCAGAAGTTATGACCCTTATTTTATTCATTTACTTCTAAGTCTTTATGGCTGTGGATGTCTGGGTAGTACCCAAAAACTTTTGGGTGACTTAAAGCAGATTTATTAGGACTTACTAGTTTGTAGTCACTGTTGTCACTCGGATACGCAGGGAACAAAGGTAACTGGGAAGTTGTAGCTGTGCCAAGGTGTAGGGCAGAAGGATTCAGGAGCAGCAGCTCCCTCAAGAAAAGGTATGCTTGTTTGTGTTCAATGACTAGCACTTAGAATAAAGAAGATCTTCACCTAAGCTTCAGTATCTTCAGCTATTCAGTTAAACTCGTGAAGAATGTTTCTTTAACAGAAGCATGAAAAACGGTCTATGGAAATGAGAAAGTGTAGAAATAATTGAGAGGTAAGCTAGGATATTAACTTGAGGTTTACCATCTGCTCTGTACTAATTCTTTGTACATGGGGAGTAAGAGTCTAAAATAATTGCTGTTATCTCAAGTTTTTATGGAGTAGAAGTATGTATTTTTGTTTGAGAGGTTACCAGTAAATATTTCTCATACTGTGAAGTGGCATCTTAGTTTAACTTTTGTAGGCTTTTGTACACTCAAGCCCTATATAATCCTGATATTTCGTAACCTAGTTTCTAGGTATAGATAACGCCTAAATTTGTTGCTTATCCTCATCTAAAATGAAGATCAGTACTTATTCCCAAAACAATTAATGTCTAAACAACTGCTATGTGGTGATTGAAAACTAGTATTTGTTTCCCTTCCTGCCTCCACCCCCAAAGGGAGGTCTTGATGCCAGACTTGCTGAGAGTTGCTCTGAAAAACAACAAATTTCTGAATTCATAAAAGCAAGTGAAATATTGATGCGAAGAAATGCAGCAGATCTTGGAAAAATAAGAGAGCTGTTCCAGAAATATGACTCTAAACTACGTGTTGAAGACTGTACAGGTAATATTTATTGGCAATACAGCATGTGAAGACAAATACAATTTTCTAAAATGTTTCTCTTTAGCTATGTGTATATTTCTATTAATTAAGTGATCAAGTACATCTATGTTATTTGCTTTATAATAATATCCAGAGGGTAAAATATTCTGTTGTGATTGGTGCCATAAGAACAAACCAAAATATAAAAACTTGGAGTTAAATCTCCTGGCATGCTTTTAAGTTAGTGGGTGGTGTTGAGTTGGTTTGGGGTTTTTTTTCCCAGTAATAGCTATATTCAGAAAACATGTTAACAGACATGTTCTCATAACCCTGAGAATGATGCTGCTTCAGCTTCTCATGCATCAGAAGCTATTGTAGATGCATCTAAATTAGTTTGTATTCCTATGTGATGATTCCATTAACTTAAATCACCATAGGGAAAACCTTAAAATAATGTTTTCCACAGCACAAATGGAACAAGAGAAGCACATATGGGGATTAGCTGACACATGGCAAGCAGTAGTAGTTTAATCATTGGAGGCGGGGGAGAAACTTAATCCAGTCAGAAAATGTACACGCACCTGTGTGAAAAATACAGATATGCCAAATGAGTTTAAAATACTACAACTGTCAGGACTACACATACCCCTTTCAGCTTAAAGGGCCCAATCAAGCTTCAAGAAGCCTTTGGAGAGCATGCCTTAACCTTCCCCTGAGCGTTATCCAGTCATTGCATAAAACAAAATTGTGGTTGTGGGCCATATTCACCTCCAAGTTAAGCTACTACTACTGTTTTACAAAGATATGACAGAAGGCTGTAATTTTGTAGTACCTTCCTTCCTGTCCTCTCTCTGCATTTAAAGCAGACTCCAAATAGAGCTACAGGGTTAATTTATTTTTTAAGTGTATCTGAATATGTAATACTGATACACATAAAAAGGTAATGACTGCCATCTTGTTTTAAATAGCGTGCTTTTTTTTTCCCCCTGCTTCTTCCATCATGCAGAAATTCACAAATATTTTGGGGTGTTTCAGTTTAACTACAGAAATGTACAGATTACACCTTTGTTTACTTCTACAGTGGACTCTCTTTATCTAAAAAGCTACTCTCATGAGTTTTTAGTTGCTGCTTCGTAACCAACCTTTCTTCAACACTGTTTTTCTGAAGAATGGGCATCCTGGTACACTCTGCAGCCATTGCTCTTTGCCCAAAAACATTTTCAGTTATATATAAATTTTGTTTTCATTGTCATTTGTTGTACATTTTTAATGAATTTCCACTCTTGCACTGAAATAAAAACAAATAAACATATTTAAAATTAGCACTTCCTGCCTGCTCCATGCGGGGACATGAATTAAATTACAAATATACTTGTGTAAAAATCTTTCATTTTTCCTAGAAATAATATTTACCAATACTGCGAAATTCAGTAAAGGTGTGACCTACAGTATAAATATAGCTTAGCCTGATAATGGTATCTGTTGTAGCTTCAGGTTCAGTGCTTTAAAATGAAAGAAGGAATCTTTTTCACAATAATAAATACAAAATTTTGAGGGGGGGGGGGGGAAGTCCCAATTTATTTTATAAGTTCTTAAAACAGAAACTTCTGACATAATTTTTTTTATTACTACTTTTCTCAAACAGAAGAGGCAGAAGTAGAAGATAGCAGTGATTCGTCAGTGTCTGTCCAGAATAAATTCAACAAAGGAAAATCAGATGATGCACCTCATCCTCCTAGTTGTACTAAGAAGCCAGTGGTGCCCAAAGACCCAATGAGTAATCCCCAGCTTTCTGATTATGGTCTTTCGCAATACGCTTTCTCCAGGCCTTGGAGTGCAGTGAGAGGACAACAAACAAATGCATATCAAGAAAATAGGACTCCATTAAAAACACAGACTCCCTCTAATTTGCCGAAAACACCAAAATGTACACTAAAGATGGATGATTATGTGTGTGCAACACCAAAACTTGAACACTTTGGCATCAGTGAACATACCATGTGTATGAATGAAGATTATACAATGTCACTTATTCGTAAAACTGAGACAAGCAAGAAGTGAGTAAATTACTTAAGTTCAGATTGGTTTTCTACTTGCTGTACTAATTTCTTGCTGCTATTGCCCTTCTCTTTTTCTTCAAGCAGGTGATATGTTATCTACTAGCTGGTTAGTCATGCGTCTCAATTCTCTACGTGTCTTTTCACGTACCCTTTGCAGTGCCAAACACTGCCATGAAACACATCTCCAATATACTCCCTCCCTTGACTGTACCACGATAAGAATCTTCCATACACAGTCTAATTACAAAGGGAAAATGCAAAGGATATCTGATCTTTTGCTTTCCTTAACCTTGGATTTGAGGACATGTCATCTGCAGTAGATACTACATAGCAAATTTAAAGGTTTCAAAAGCTTTAGGAATATAGACTCCTAAAAAACTTCTACAGCATTCAGTATAAATGCCTCATTGTAGAACCAGTTTATTCTCTCTTGCGTTATCCAGCCCCACCTTACCAGCAATTAGCTCTTTTTGCTCCAGTCTTCTGTTGAAAAGACATTTCCAGATTTTCACTGTTCTAATTAAAAGTACAGAATTTGTAGCAGTGAGGTGTAGAACACCTTAGCAGTGGTATTTATCTATACTTATAAGGTAATGTAAAGGTAGCTAGATCATGTTTTTTATAGTTAGTATTAGCAACACAATTAATTTTAAAAGCTGAAAGTGTTTAAAACAAACTCACTGTTCTGTAGCTAAATACTTAGTATTTAGAGAAATTATTCAAAAAACAAGGACCATATTCAAAGTAAGTTGTGGAAAGAATCATCCAAGTTTTTGACTTTGTGTTGTTTTGTTTTTTGTTTTTTAATCCCTGGTATTTACAGTATAGGCACAGGTGTGAAATTCTTCAGAACTATGCCATGTCCCCCAAAGATCCAGTTTACCATAATGATGGACTTTTAAGTGTTTTGTTTTTTTTTTTTTTTTTAATTTTAAGATTACAGGGAGGGGAAGGGAAATGATACGTTTTCTTTTAAAAAACAGGTTTGGGATCGCCTTTTGAATAGTTATGTAAATACTATAAAGTCTACAAAACTCAGTAGTATTGGAATTGTAACAACAGGAAAACTGTTACTGAATCCTGAAAGATAGTAATTAACAAAATGTTCCCTCTTAAATTATATTTTAATAATAGTTTAATCTTATCACACAATTTAAATTCTTTTGATACCTATAACTTTTTGTGGTTTTGTACTACCTTTCCTGTTTAATGAGAACTTTTAAATGTGATCTTCAGCTTTAGTTATGACTGAAATTTATAAATGGATACGTTTACAAATTTAGATTCTATTTCTGTGGCTTCTAGTGAAACAATTAGACAGTTCACTAGTGATGTTTTATATATAATACCAAAATAATAAAAAAAAAAAAATCACACTAGCAGTCTTCCATACCTCTAATGACAATATTAAAAGTCTGTTGAGAATTAGTTGCAGAATGATCACTCCTTAACTCATCATCATTATTAATGACCAAAACAGATGGATTCACACTAATTGTGACTAAAGTTAAAGCTGCATATTGATTCAGAATTAGTGGCATATGTGAGAGGTCATGACATTAAGTCATTAGAGTTAAAATGTTGTTTAATGGTCTTTAGTTTATTTGTTTAGTTTATTTTGCAACATTAAGTTGGAGTTAGCTTGCAGTTTGATCAGAAAGGCTGACACAATTAAACAGCTTGTTCCGTCCAAACAGCATTTATCTCACCTCTTAGTGAGAAGGCTCAGCATGTTCAAGGAGCAGGACAGTAAGACAGCAAATTAAAAAAATTATTTTTTTTTTTCCCCACTGGGTAATGCATGGAGTCTCATCCCCAAGGAAGATAAGCAAAAAAAACTAGTACAAATGAGGTAGCCTTATACCAAGTTTCCAGGTACAAAGACAGGTAATAATTCTGACTTTCTTGGAGACAGCCCTGCCCTTTCATATCCCTTGCTTGTGCCAGCCAGGTCTTGTACCTAGCAGTAATCTGTCTAGCAGCTGTGTATTGTGTGAAAACCACTTTAAAAATTAATCTCACAATTCTAAAAATATTTAGTAAATCTCAACTCCTCCAACTTTGGGTTTTAGGTTTTCAGTTTTGAAGCACGTGAAAAGAACAATATACTTCAGTGCACCTGCTACAAAACTGAAACCAAAAGTAATTAGGAAAGAAAAGAACAAAAAAAAAAAAGTCAACAGAAGTGTTTATTGTTATACTTGTTCTTCTCCACTCTAAAAACTACAAATCCTATGATTTCAGGTATCTGTAATACTTCCAAGGCAGAACTGACTTGAAAATTTGTTTTTTTTAGTCAAAATTTGAGATGTGTTTAAGTAAAATATACTGCTTCAAATGGATTTTTTTTTTTTTTTCCTAAGCTTAGGCTTTTCGTAGAGGAGTTCTGTATCTGGTTCTCATAGTTAAGATAATTATTTTAAATGTTTAAAAGTTTTTTTACAGACACGCTTTTGTGTAAAGTTTTGTGTAAAGTTAAGATACTTATTTTAAATGTTTAAAAGTTTTCTTACAGACACACTTTTGTGTAAAGTTTTGGTAAGCTTTCTACTTTTTGTCTGCCATCTTCTCTTGACTGCCTACACCCTTCTTCCACTAGAATATCTTGGATATGAAAAAAGAATTTTTAAATTTCAGTTTCTAGTTTTGTGGAATTTATATTAAATAGCTTTTCACTCTGAAGTCAGGTAGTGATTAACATAAGTAATCTTACTCAAATTTAAGAATTGAATTAAAAAAATCTTCTAGCGTTCACAATAACATTGGTAGGTTAAGAGTCAAAAAGATTTCTTCTTGCTTAGAATTTTGTAGGCAACAGGCAGTTCAAAATAAAATAGACTGTACCCTTCACATAGAATTGATCACGTGAAAAAAAAGAAAATTGATCCTACCTTTTTTGGGGGAGGTGTTTTGATTGCTTTTTTTAATGCCTGGGATTGGAATCTCAGTTTATTAATTTGTGGATGGACTGAACATTTGCATGCTACAAATTGCTGCAGTGGAATCGTAGATGAAAAATCTATGAAAAAATCATCACTGAGGAACTGAATTTTTGACTTTCAGGTTGATGAACAAATATTTTAAAAATGGTCAGATTGACAGTATTCCTTTAGTTGTGATTTCTTTGTATTATTTGAGAGCTAATTGAGGGGTTTGATTTTCAGGTTGATTAAAAAAGATGATCATCAAGTGAATGTACCAGAAATGACATCCAAGCAAATCATGGTTACTCCTCGGTCAAAACCAAAAGTGACAGCTGAGAATGGTAAGTTAAAAATATGTAAAATAAATATACATATGCAGTTTTTACCTAATGCATGTATAAATGCATCATAAACACATGGTAAACTTTTAAACTGTGTTTCTTATTAAATATAGTTAATTCAGGCCTATTAATTTTATGAGAAATAATGTCTAGAAAAATGAAATGTTGGTGGCTTCTATAGGAAAGTTTCTCACATCAGTATAAATCTTTCCTCATTCTACTCATATCCATCTAGAATTATGCAGATGGATCCATCACTTTGTAACTGCAATTTACCCTTATTCAAAATAAAAATACTGTTTTGCCAACTCTGCCTTTTTTTTTTTTTTTTTACTGAGAATACCTATTAGATCTGTTTAAAGATAGGAAAGAAACTGCTTTGAAACAGGCTAATGAGACAGTAACTTATATCTTTCAAGAGCAGTTCTAAAACTTCTTTGAGAGGAGATGTAATCTGTTCTCCTGAAAATGTGTGAAAATCTTGGGACAAACATAGTGACAATTGAATATATGAGAAGCTAAAGCAATGCAGATTTAAGTTGGGCTTTTTCCATTATATTCAGTATTGGGACTAGATTTATTACTGTTTTTTTTACAGAATTCCACAAAAGCAGCAAATGCAAATGTAGTGCAAATGGTTCTTGATTAATTAAAAAAAAAAAATCAGATAAAAATGATACAGGAGTATTAGAATATGCAAATCTATGGAAAGCTAATAGACTTAGAAAACTACACTGGGGCACTGAAAATGATAATATTTTTATATATATATATATATGTGTGTGTGTGTGTATTTTTATTTTTGCTAAACTTCACCCCCCTTAATTTCAGCAGCTGACTGGATGGCTTCTCCTATGATGCTTGTGTACCGTACTACTGATGCGAACAGCACTTCCAAAACAAATAGTACAGTGTTATCAAGGTCACCAGAGACAAATGAACGGCCTCTTCCCAGTCATGCAGAAACACCAAAGTTTCCAGATTTTGAAACAAGATGGCTAAAAACAGAAGCTAAGGTAGTAAATATTAATTATGTACATTTTCACATGCTTTTTACCTAAGCAGTTTTTCAATTAGCAGTTTGGGATTCTTTTCCAATACTACTTTTTCTTATGTCATTGTAGAAGATCTTTCTAATGGTAATTTTTGTAAGAACATTTATTAAATACCTAAGATAAGTAAATTAATCGAAGACATTTAATACCTCTTTTGCAGCAGGTGAAGCAGGGTGTAAAGACTAAGTCAGTGACAAAGAATGATGCAAGAGATAAGCAAGAAGATAGCATTCCTTTTGCTGTGAGCTCTGATGAGTATCTTAAACATTTCGGAGACCCTTCTCCTCCTGAAATAAAACACTATGACCAGTTACTCAGTACTCCTCCACCTCCAGAAATAACAAGGATACCAGATGACGTTCTACAGGTTAGCTAATTTTTTTTTTCCTAAACAGTTTTAATGTCAAAATAGCAAAAGGGCTTAGTTATAAAATTTTGTCCTTCAAAAAGAAAGAGTTCTCTGCTACTTATTAAAAAAAATGTATAATATGTAATCCTGGTTTGAGTTCTTAGATAATTCTTTCTATTCCCTTTTAATGTTTCTTGTAGTTTCTGTCCAAGTATAATCACAAAATAGATTCTTCTAAAGCCAAGAAAATGGAGACCAAGACAGGAAATACTACAGGATATGAAAGTGATTTCACTGATTACTACAACAAAGAGAACAGGTATGATTAAATTTTACAAATTTGGTTAAATAATTTGATTTGGAGGAACTATCAAGATGCTTTAACGCATTTAGAAATTCATGCAGCTGCTTGCTCTTCAGCTACCTAAATAGCTCTTGTTGCTGTGACTAAATAACTATTCTTTGGCGTGGTATCTGACTGTCTTTTTGTAAAAAACAAATATTATAAATGATTGTGTATTTGAATCCTTCCAACTTAAAAAAAAAAAATAAATGAAGGTAGATATTTTTTATCTGTAGGTATATTTTGCTTCTTGTCTATCAAAGCACCAGTGAATGCTTATGCTTCCTTCTGAGTAAATTTAGACAATAAATTTAAGGAATTGGAGAAAACTATCTGATGGCAAATTTCATAGTCCATTTGGCAAGGACAAAGTTCTTTGAAACGCCACCTTACAGACAGTATGAGATGAAGTTAGTCTGCAATAAGTACGAGTAATCTTTGAACGATGGAATAATAGCTTTTAAAAGAACTCAACCTATTTGAATAGAAGGAAGTTTTTGTAGCAACTGGATCAAACATAGATATTCCTGATTCAATTAAATGTGTATTATTACACTTGTTGATTATCTGTTAAATTTGGGGTCAGTACAAATTATTTAGGTAGGAGGTACAAGGAACATATATGTAGTCAAATAATAATCACACCAACCCTGAATGAGACTAATAAATTAGTCTTAATATATTTGGAGTTGGAATCCATCTGAGTAATCAAATAGAGCAAAGCTCTTACTTGAGCTAACCCTTCTTTTTTTCTTGTCAAGATAATTTTTTTAAAAAAAAAAAGCTTTCAATGTTTATGTCTTCTGCTAATTCAAAAGATAATTGAGATAATAAGTTCATGAACTCTTCTGGATATATTTGCAGCAGAAATCCTGGATTTTTCAAGCCAAACATCTAAAATCAAGCTGCAGACCATGTTGAGACTGTTTCACATTCATGGATCTTATAACTGAATCAAAATGAGCTCAAAAAGCAAAAGAAAATACTGGTGGGAGGAGAGCCATACCAAGGAAAAGCTTTTTTAATGGAGAAAAAATACTTATCCATGATGTGGGTAAAGTTCTTTGGACTACAACTTGTGCTTAATTTTTTATTGAAACTATTGGCAAAATATATTGAGAGTTTTTAAATATATATATTCTTCAAAGAGGACTAGGATCGGGTATGAGGTATTATCTCAGTTGTTTCACCTAATTCTCATGTTTGTTGTGTACGCTTGTTTGCAGTAGACGGTAGAGAGGTGTAGGTAGATTGCAGTAAAGGAAAAGTCCAGTATATTGCCCCAGAAAATGGATCTCTCTGGCTGTTTTGGTAACAATCCACATCTTCCAGGGCTGAGTTTGAACTGTAGTGCTTCAACAGGATTTGCTATCTTCAGCAGAAACAAGTCAGGTCTGTGTTACCTGTCTGACAGACGGGCATTTCTTACACTGCTGCTTCTTTCTTACTATAGTTTTCTTACACTGACATCATACTAGGTGCTATACATCTGGTTTCCTTTTGATACTCTAAGGTCTGTAGCCCTAAAAGGTGACCCTGGCTCGAATATGAGTTATTTGAAAATATATTGTGCAATTAGTACTGGTTATATGTATCTTCAACTTTTGGAAAGATCTGCTGGCAGGCATGTAGGTGATTGCTTATTCTCCTGCGCTGCTGCCACATGTAAGTCCTCAGGATATGCAAACATCTGGAGATGCTCAGAAGTATTGCTCCAGTTGCTTAGATGGGCTTGTCCTGGCTAAAACCTAGCAAGTAAAGGAGCCTTTTTCCTGCTATTCCAGTCATTCTCCAGGATGAGTGTATATCAAATTAACTGGAAAAGCTGATTTTGTACTAGTTCTAGCCTGAGCGCACTGTCATTTCTGTGTGCTAACTTCTGTTTAAAAATAAGTATGTGTGTTTATGTGTCAGTCTTAGAGATTGAGCAACACATCTAAATACTAAACAAATCTGTCTTGGACGCTTGGTGGCTGCTTGGAAAACTAATCATCTGGTGCTATAAAAGCATTTACATTTACCCAACTCCTTCAGAGGGTGAAGGCCAGACCTGCTTCCAGCACCTTCACAGACTAAAAACCATTTAAGGGGCTGCATGCTAGTCATAGAATTTCATAGTTTTAAAAAGATACAAAGTATTTTGCTGCAGAGCAAGAGTCCTTCAGCCAGACAGGTTTACCAGCACTAAGCAGGGGGGTTTCACAGCCTGCATTCTCCCTCCACAGCGCTCCATGGCTACTTCCTTGCCCTGAGGCAAGCCAGATATCCTGAAACACTCCATTTAACATGAAATGAGACAAGCAGCACCGCTGTCCCAGACCTTGCTGTATTCCCACCACCACCAGCCTTCAACTAATGAAATTCCCAAAAGGGCTTATAGATGACCTTTCCCTAAACTTGAGAACAACTAACTACGCACTCCACTGTCCTTCCCTCTGTTAGGGAACTGTAGAGTTGCACCCAGCAATGCTGAGGTTCTCACCATAAGCTGTTTGCATCATTTTTCTTGTCTGTTAAACAATGTTTTCTTCTACATTTCATAGTTATTAACTAATAGGAAAGGGCTTCAATTAATATTTTGAGGTACAAATTATCTTTGACAATTGAAATCTTAAAATCTTCTGATCTACTCAAGCTATTATGACATGATGCTGGCATGAGACTTTTTTGGAATCTATAAATGAATTTTTACTAGGTAGTTTTGGTTTTCTTGCCTACAGTATTGCCTTAATACAAGTAATATTGCTGTTCGTACTTACATTTTCTTTATATCAGGACCACTGCTCTGAGGTGGATATAATCAGAGTAGTAAACCAAAAACTAGTTTTAATTTGTCCTGCTTTACCCTTGAAAACCTTTTAGGTTTCAGTAAGGCCTAAGCAGTGGTTTGAGTATTGGGGATGAGGGAGGGAAAGGTTGGCAGAAGTGAAAGCATAAGCAGTGTTGGAAACGGATCTGTGTTCAAAATAAGCTGGGGAGGGAAAGTTCTGTGGTTTGTTGTGTCTTTTTCTTTTTTCCTATTCAGATCAGTTCTCTCACACAGGTGGTTGTGTGGCCATCTGGTAAACTGCAGAAGTCCAAGTACTGGAACAACCAAGGATGTAACCGTGGGGCTGGAGAAGGGTAAAACTCCCCTTAAACCAGTATTGCTGCTGAAGAAAGGCTAGTCTTGCTGTACGCTAAAGTAATGTAACATGTCAGAGTAATGCAAAGGAACTTAAAACAAGTTACATGTTGGTTTGATGTGGGGTCAATCTGATAACTGCATTAGCCTGTCAGAAAGTGCAGTTTGGGTAAACGGTAGCTAATAAAGTAGCAAACACAGTAGCTCTGTAGGGGTCAGTCATCACCTGAAAACAGGCAAAAATGACTCGGGGTACGGTTCTGCGTTGTGCTCAATTCAGTTACACTGGCGGCTGCTTCTGCTAGAGGCTGTTTCACCAGTTCTCTTGCCACAGAATTTAGGGCTTGTGCGGTTTTACAATGGCTTCCTTCCATTTGCTGAGCCACTGAAAGGCCAGTTAATTTTGTTTTGTCTTCTAGTTTGTCCTCCCCAACATTAATCTCAAACTCTGCTTCTGCCTGCGGGAGCGCTAGATCAGATCTAAGGGAAAGGTGAGAACGGGGTCGCATCTTCTAGCGGTCGCCTGCAGTTGGAAAAGGTTGAGCCCAGCACAAAATTGTACTTCAGTATTTAGGGACATCTGGGAGGCAGCCAAAAAAGCATAACCTTTAATTTTCCTTTATTTGCTGTGGTTCTTAACCTTTTTTTCATGTATATCAAATGTGTCAGCTCACAGAAGCTTCTCTCCATAATTCCATTTGTTGTCAAAGGAAACTCAATTGTTCTGCCTAGGAAACCCCTTAAGGTGGTCAGAGCTTTCTTATCTTGGAAATACTTTGCCTGAGGCTATAATACAAGTACAGATCTTGCAGCAGAATGAAACATCCCAGATGGTTGCTAAGTGGATAAATGACAAGCGTCACCTTTAGTGCTTCCTGTTGTACTTTTATTGATGTTTTTATAAATCATTGGAGCAATAACTAGAGTCCAGGCTTCCTTACTTATTTAAAGCATCCACAATGCTTTAAATTTTCCATTAGATGTGATATTTGCTTTGTTCCCTGTTGTCATTATTCAGATGTTCCAGTATTTGGGGTGGTTGCATGTACTCCATCAACAGCTGTAGCTGCCTTGTGTTTTGGGAGTACCTTGTTTCCCCATGGGACAGTAAGACAGAGTGTGTCATTTATAAGAAGCAATGACAACATCCAGTGGCCGAACTGGGGAATCACAGGTACGTTAACCCCCAGGAATCCGTCTCTCTACCACAAAGACATCAGTCTGTGCTGGCTGTATTACTTGTCAACTTAAACGTGAAACCTCATGCTCTTCTTAGGTAATACCACTTTTAAAAAGGGGCAGTTGACATCATGGTAAGGAGCTGACGAGGTCTGTGAATTTCTCTGATCTTGTCCAATTCAAGTTGCAGAGTTCTTAAAAAAAAAAAAAAAATAGCACAAATGTGCATACACAGGAAATGGTCCATGGAAGAAGATGCTGTGCTACACGGGCTTTTCTTCTGGGAAGAGACCAAGTAAAGGATAGTTTGCAGAATACCCAGTGTTCAAATACTTTTATAATTTTTGACATAATGTATTCCTGGCTTAAAGCCCTGTGGTATGCTCCCTGGTGATTGCTTTCGCAATTGTTGTAAACCAATCCCCGGCCTTGCTGCACGGTCCCGCCTTTCCTCCCGCTGCAGGTCCCACACCCTGGGTTGTGGCTGCAGGGGAAGCCACTCCTGCTTGCCCAACCACCAGGAACTAATTGTTGTTTTCCAAGGTTAAATTGTTCAGGGGCTCTGCGTGCTGAGCCAAATCACTGCTTACTTGCAAAGGCACTGGCAGGGGCTGAGGCAAGAGCAAGGGAAAGGGCATTCTCCTTCACTGGCAGCTTAACCTGCTCGGCAAATTGTGTCCTGGCTGGCTGCTGTCCCACGAGCACTTCATGACAACTGAAGCAATTTCTCTTCTTCACCCCAGCACCCATCACTCCTGTTCCTAAAGCCTGCTTCCTGGGACAACTGCTTGGGTGGCTGTGCAGGAGTTAGACTGGAGGGGGCACGGCTGCTGTGAGAAACTTCACCCTTGGAAGAGGGCTCTGTAGGTGCAGCGCGGTGTCGGTCGTTCCTGGCTGTGCAGGCTGCTGTGATGTGGTGCTGGTGGGGACTGTATTTCAAACCTTTAGTACTTTTCATATGTACATGCTTCCCTTCTCCCTTTCAAGCATAAGCCTCCTGGGCTCCAGAGGAGTTCTTAAACCGAAGGCAGCAGGACTCTGGCACCCTTGCCAGCGGGCCCCAGGATAGGCAAGGGCTGCAGGACAGTGCCCAGCCCCAGCTGAGCAGGCAGGGAGCGAGGGGTGTTGGGGCAGGACTGGGGGGTGCCTGGTGCTGTTCTTCATTGTTGGGGCTCTCCCCTCTTGTCCTCTGGAGCCTGAGGTATGTGCTTCATGGCTTTCAGCTGGAAGACCTCAGCAGAAGACTTGGGAGCAAGCATAGGGACCCTTTTCCTTCTATCTCTTGCTCAGCAACAGAGTGCTGGCAGGTCTACATCTCTCAAACAAAGGGAGTACTTGGATTCAAACCACAGGCACAGCGGGGTTGTCTGGGCCAGGTGCCGTTGCAGACCCCTCTTAAAGACCCCCGAGTCTCTTCAGGCTTGAAGACATTAACTCATGTTTACCTGAAGCACAGGGTGGGGAATTCATGCCTCAGCCCACTCTAAGAGGAGCTCACCCAGAAGTGCCCTTGAAGCTGTTACTTGCAGAGTTCACTGGATTTTTCTTGCTGGTATTGAAGAGGTCAAGTGAGTTTTTACGCCAGGATCTCTCTACTTAAGCCTGTTACTTCTGTAAGACTGGAAGTACCCCAAGGAGGGTCCCGAACACCCCGGCCCCACTGAAGGGGTACAGAAAGTTGAACTCTCTTCACTTCTGCATTATCTTTCTGTGTGAAACACAAGTGTTTGAGGGCAAATGGCTTTCTCAAGGGATGTTTGGGGAAGAGGTCAGCTGAGGTTTGTACATCCACAGCAGTCAGGTGAACTCCACACCGAAGCAGTCAAGCTGAAGTGTTTGCTAAGGAAGGCAGTCCTGCATGTTCATTTCATAGTAATTTTGCTTCATGGGCCACCAAATACAAAGCCAGCAGGTGTTCCTCTTTTTCTCTGAAGTGTGTGAGGACCTGCCCCAGGCTGTGCCCACACCACCTCTTACTGGGCCATGTCTCCCATTCCAGCAGCAAAGCCAAGCCACCTCCCAGAGCAGCTGAGGCACAGGCACGGTTGCTGCTGTTGCCTTATATATTGACTACCTTTGAGAATTATCCTTAAATGCAATTAAAACAAAAACCAGGACATGAAAATGAAGAAATGCCCATATTCCTGTGCACCTCTAATAGCAGGGCTGTCCTTGCCTTTGGTGGGGGGCTTGTGCAATTCTGTAATTACATGCTGGGTACTGCAGGCCTCACCTTGTTTTGCAGCATGGACAATGCCCTGGGACAAGCAGGCTGCTTAGCAGTGGTCTTCACTTTTCTGTCTGCCCAGGTCTGTAAGGTGTCAAAAACCAGATGGCTGATCTGATGGCTGTGACTCAGCAGGCAGCAGAGGTGACTGCCTTCAGCCTGGAACATCCCACCAATCCCAGCTCCACTGCACTTCTCAACCTTTTCAATCTTAGGGGAAACGAGTGACTCAGATGCAAGTGATTCTGCAAATGAGGGTCATTCATGAAGGCTGAACTTGCAACTCCCTAACTTAGAAGCCAGAGAAGAGGGACAGAAGAAGGTGAACCATGGGCAGAACTGACCCTAAAATCCCTCAGGCTGTGCTACACTGAGGGACTCCCAAGAAAAAAAGAAAAAATGTAAATCACAGCTCACGAAAGCAAGCATGCCTTGTTCTCAGCAGCCAGGAACACTTACTTCAGCCTCGGCCTCTGCTCTGCTAAGGCCTTAGGTGAGGAAGGTGAAGGCCCTGAGGAGCAGCTACAGCTTCTACTCCTGCTCTTGCCTTTCTTTCAGCACAGAGGAGCACAATGTGCAGGAAACAAGCACCTGGCTCTCCAGACCAGTGGGATGCTCGGGGTCAGCTGGCAGAGGGACACAGCCCCAGGCAGCCAGAGCCCGCTCAGACCTGGGGCACCCCCAGGCCTCGGGGTCTCCCCCTGCGGTGACAGAGGCAGCTGGCAAGCACCCAGCTGGGGGAAGCCACAGGCCCCCTCCTCCCACGTTGCACTGATTTGCTGGGAGGTGGGCCACCCCTTCTTTCTCCTGCTCCTTAAGAAGGTACCAGGCAACATTCCACAGACCAGCCTTCCTGTTTCCCCATGGAAAACCCTTAGCTACCCCTCCTTCTAGTTTGAGATTCTAGAAGCTGGCTGCTAGGCACCCCCAGCAACCTCCAGCTTCATCAGTAACTTTTAACATGGCACAGCCTTGAATCTTGATAGCTCACAGCTTCTTGGCTTTGCCCCAACACCAATGGTTACAGTAAATTGAGAAACTGGTGCTCAATACAGGCTGCAACTGTTTATGAAAAGCCACCTTACTGAAGGCAAAGCAGCAAATTTACTCAGCTCAGACTGCTCGGTGTAGGGTCCAAAATCCTATGTATTCATTAGATGAAGGTAACTAAGGGAAAGAAGCTAAAATATGCACCTTCCTTGGAGCTCTGGAAGTCAAAACTGGGTGTTGCTCTCTTGGTCAGTGTATGCCAACAACCTATTGCTTGTGGTCAAAAGCCCAGGAGATGGAGGTATGCGAACCAGCTGCCTCGCCCCACAGGTTCACTCGGCCAAGAAGAACCAGTGGTCAGGGCCAAGACTCCCACACAAAGAGCACAGACCTGCTGCCTCACCTCCTCTCAGTTCATCAGAACTGCAGGCAAGAGCACCTGCCACTGTATTTTCGTTAGAAAATAGTTCTGCTCCATAGCTGACCATCTGAAAACACCAGATTTCTTCTGGCCAGGTCTCTGCAGATATTGCAATGTTCCAGGACAGTGGTCTCCAAAGGGGGGAGCAAAAGACAAGCCAAAGACAAGACAATCTCCAACGTGGTACATGCACAAGTGGGATACAGTATTTCACATTTCACACCTATTTTTGTGTAATTTTATAATGTACATAGTAATACAGTACTGGATATATGTAATTTATAAATAATTTTGGGGGAAGACACTCCAAAATTTTTTAATGATGGGGTGCACAATCAACAGAAGTTTGGAGACCCCTATTCTAAGCAAGACCCTCAAAGACAGCTTTATACCTTCCATTTTTAAAGACACTTAAAGTCCTTCAGAACTCGGGTAAGGCCCATGTGCAACTGTGCTGAACCATACCTTCCTCTGGCAAGTTCAGCAGCTCCTCAGTGTCCTGGTGGCACCGAGAACACTCCCAGTCTGTGGGCTGGCATCACCCTGGCACAAGATGGAGCAGCCCCTGGAAGCTGTAGCAGGAGGGCTGGCAGCCCGACACAGCCCCCTGCGTCAGCAGGGACAGTAACACAGCTTGCCTGCCTTTGGCCACACCGCCTACACGCTCGTCCTCCCAAACCCAGCCAGCTGCAGATTAAATCCTCCTGTCCAAAGAATCCCCATTAGGCCACGCACCTCTGCTCATCTAGCCCAAAAGTTATCCGACAAAGGCTTTGGCGCTCCTTTCAATTTTAACTTCTTAAAAGCTGGCTTTGGAATGTCTCTGCAAAAATCTACTTTAAAAAAAAAAAAAAAAAAAAAAACACCACCACGCTATCAAAAGATTAATAACATCAATCTTTATTCCAATCAAGACAGAACTACAGAATACCTGTAATCCTTCTGGTCATATTTTACGGAAATATTGAAACACTGGACACACTGACTTACTGTTCAAACTGTAACAATCAGGGATAGGATGATGGCACTGCTAAATATAAGTGTTTCTTCTAAACAAACTAAAAGTTAAGGTTTAAAAGTTAACTTTAATTTCCGATGCTTAG